AAATGTCTCATTTTAAAAGACTACAAAGGATTAAGTTCAGTACAAGTTCAACCCCCTGAGAAAAAAATAGTCTCGAATACGTACAATAGGAAAATTAAACGAATCAAGTCAGTCAAACTGGTCCCCAAATTACTCCATAGACATTCCTTCTCTGCTCTACCGGTACTCAACGTCCATCTGGCAAAGTTGTTCTTGCTATATCGTCAGACGCGGCAGCACCCACCGAAGCACCACCGAAGTACCAACAGAACAATCAAGCAGGCCGTTACGACGGGCTCTGAGCCCAGATAGCAGAGGGAAACATTTATCTATCATTCTAAGTTTCAAATACAAATGTACGGAAAAACGTTTGTGATGTGAAACAACTCATTTTAAAAGACGACAAAGGATTAAGTTCAGTACAAATTTAACCCTCTGAGAAAAAAAAAATTAGTCTCCAATACGTACAATAGGGGAATTAAACGAATCAAGTCAGTCAAACTGGCCCACAAAATTATTCCATAGACATTCTTTCTCTGCTGGACGGAAATTTAACGTCTATCTGGCAAAGTTGCTCTTCCTATATCGTCAGACGCGGCAGCATCCACCGAAACACCACTGCAGTACCAACAGAACAATCAAGCAGACCGTTACGACGAGCTCTGAGCCCAGGTAGCCGAAGGGAAACATTTCTCTATCATTCTAAGTTTTAGGCCCATATCGTCAGTCGTCCCTACAATTGTAGGGCGCGTTTATGGCCTCCTTGATTGTCATCCTCCTTTCTCTCCTTCAAAAATTTCTAGATTACACTTGTCCCGTGTCAGCGTCAGCGCTCTCCTATTGTGAAGATATGTTTTCTTTTTAAATTGTAGGAAATTTCAGGCTGATAAAACATGATATAACTCAAAAGCAAGCACAATTTGATGCAAATAGATGTTTGTGATATAACCTCAAAGTAGAGTTCTGACACGGAGAAGCGGAAAACTATGACAGTCAAGGAGGCCATAAACGCGCCCTACAATTAATTGTAGGGACGACTGACGATACGGGCCTTAAAGACGAATGTAGGGGAAACTTATGGTGTATGAAATGGCTCATTTTAAAAGACTACAAACCTTTGGTGTAGTAGTCACATTGAGTGAAGATTTCATCTCAATCCGATCAATACTTTTCAAATTATAGAGGAACCAAGGATTACCGGTCAGACTGACAGATGGACAGACAGACCGACGAAAATGAGTGAAAGAACAAAAAATTATGTGACATTCCTATGAAATGTATCCTCTCCAGGTTTGTGCCTATATGCCTGCTAGGACTCAAGTCCCTTCCTTCTAGCTCTAGGTCTCCTTAAAAACAGCCAAGATATTGGTATGGTATGTATATTTCACCCCGAAAATCGTGGAATTTTCATCATCCATTCACCTTATGCAAGTGAGGCCTCAACGTGATGTTATCAGACAACTTTAGGTGCAAAGATGAGCAAAAACGTCTACCATTGGAACTTAATCCAAGAATGAGACTTACCTGACGGAAATATCCACTCTAGCGGCTAAATTTCGAACATTTTGCTCTAACAAGTGCGTCCACAGTGTGTCATGGTACACAAATAGGCAAGTCTAGAAGCTTGGCTAAAATATTAAGAGCCTTCCTGTATCGTTAAATACGCAAATGTTAAAATTATACAAATATTCTCTGACATTTCCTCCTTAGCAACCGGTGCGTCATTATCGAAGAAAATTACAGCAAATGCAAGGCAGTTTTGCTTCCTGAATAGCGTTTATGACATAAATATAATCATGAAACGATATGCTTAGCTATGCAAAAGGAAAAATCGTTATTACAGCCGTCTTCCTTCCCTAAATGCAAATTTCACTAGGCATGCCAAACACGTATTACTTTCCTATATAGCTTCTATGTACAGCGAAAGTGATAAAATGAGAAAATAAAAAAGTAAGTTTATGTACAGTTTAGTTCCTGATATGGTGATGTCTCAGCCATTTTTGGTGATAGCGTTTGATTACGTCTACAGCAGTAATGTGAGTTTCACGAAATTCTTATGAAAGAGAGTCTTTATAAAAAAATATTTATGAGGAATAGAAAGGGTAATCGGCCAGGATCGTATAACCTTGGGCCAATTATGTGTCATCCCCGGGAGCTACTCTACTACTGAAGAAGATGGTGATACAACTCAACGCAGCTTCCCTCACATTAGTCATAGGAGGCCGACCCATAATACTATTTCTCGAATTGATTTGATAGATGGCAGTTGCCAGTTGATTTAGCTTCTTGGGCATCACGGTCCTGTCAATAGTGGATTAACTGTTGCGAACTTGGTTATTTTAATGGGTTCATGTCCGAAGCCTACTCACCTGCATGCGGTGTTCCCCAGGGGTCTAACTCTAACTTTTATTTCTATCTATTGTTTATTAATGACCGTTGTGAAAATTTGGAATGTACGCAATTATGTTTTTCTGGCGACATGAAAATATATTCACCGATAAGGGATTTTCTTGATTGTTTGGATTTACAGATACGGTTGAATAGTATTCGGACTTCGAGCAATGTCAAAAATTTACATTTAAATACAAACAAGTTCAAGACCTTTAGTTATAGTAGGAAAAAAGCCTTTCATATTTTCGACTATAATATTGTTGGTGCGTTGTTGGATAGTTGCGATACAATCAGAGATTTGGGTGTTCTTGATGAACAAAGGTTAACATTTGATCCCCATATTTTTCATAAAGTTTCAGAAGTGCTCAATTCATACAGCTTCCTTGGCAGGAATTGTAGGTAATTTCGCAACATAAGGGCTTTAAAGGTATTAATTACATTTTGCACACCAAACTATTGAAATGTATAATAACCAAAAGGTTGGCGTCAATAGGTTAATTTGACTAGTCCTGGGAGAAAACAACATCCATGGCTGAGAAATATAAGAAACTGGTATGGTGTACTTCCAAGCCAGTTTTCGATAAGCTCATTCTACAGCCATAGAAGAGAAGAAGTTTGGCTAAGGCTCTAATCTGCTAGACGTATCATCCCACACGCCTTTGGAGACTTTGTGGAAGTGCCTTTTTAGCACTGTCATGATGAGCGGATTGCAGAAAGCTTCTAGATTCAATACGGTGATTGCCGTTCATGCACACTTAATCAGCTGTTATCTTACCCTATATTTTAAGTAACTCTTCACCCAAGCAATAATTATATTGTTGCAGGTGAAGCCACTCAACACTCATAAATGATTTAATACGATCGTACAATCGTACTTAATTTGCACCATTATTTTGTATGTTCGTGTTTGGTATATCCTTTGTATTTTTTAAGTCTTTCACATTTTTGTCCAACGCTACCATAGTTTCAAGCGCACAACGCAGGTCTACATCGGAAAAAGCTTAAAAGTTCCTTTTTATCATAATTATAACAAGTATAATGAAGAATATCAGTACTCAGAGATAATGTAATCAGTAACTTCCTCGTTCACATGAACCGTTTATTTTACCAGATGTAAGGAATTACAAGCTTAAGATGCCGCGGTCCGCTATAATAACAAGCAGTTTGTTGTCTATCAATGTAAAACAGGTCACCTTTGTCTGCATAGTGTATCAGTTACAGATGTAATATATGCGACAGGTTCTCAGAATCCAGAATCAAGTAATTTATTGCATTCGATTTGATATTATAACTAGTATTAATATGTTATTGTTTATTGTTATGTTGATTGAAGTCAATGCGTTACAATGGTGGCTCTTAGTACAGTTATTTCATTCAAGCATTCACTGACCAAAGTAGTGATCTGCAGGGTGTTTAACCTGGAGCAAATCTGCAAAAAATTGTTGCCTAAGTAAATCCCAAAAATGGTTTCATGATTTTCTAAAAACTGTTACGTTTCAAACATACAGGGAAAATAGAATTTTATATTTATAAAAATTATACAATAACAAAAAATATATACACAAAAACTGTTCAAAATGACTACCTCAAGGTAGAATTCAAGGCCCCAGTATTTTCTTTCCAATACACTAGGGTCTCTCTTCTTGAGTTGCATCCGGCAACTATCTGATTTTTCACTAAGGATGTGTGAATGTACAACATAGTGAATCATCTACGGTATTCAAGCCCAGAGATCGAGCTGGCCGTATGTTAGCAGGTTATCTTCGACTTATCCAACGATCCCTTGTATGTTTCTAAAGAAAACTGATGTGAATTAGGAAATGACTTGCGTTCTAGCTGGTGGGACACATACCTACATAGTCATTTTGAACAGTTTTAGGAGATTACAGAGAGTAATATTTTGCAAGCATTTTAATTGTCATATTCAAAACAAAGTGGTCTTTCAAATATAGTCGGAGAACTAAATATTTACTAGACGTGCTAGGTCAGCTTTCGAATATTTCAACAATTCTTTGAAAATCACCTAGGGCTGTAGCCAGGACGATTGTAGAAATATCTAGAATCTGGGCGCTGTTTGGACTAAGTTTTCATCCCATCCCACTGGCGTGGAAGCATTGTAGTCGTAAAAGTTGCGAAAATGAGATATATTTTTTTGTTTGTCTGTCCGTCTGTTGGTCCGCTTTAATTTGGAAAGTACTGGTTGCATTTTTACGAAATTTTCACAAAGGTTAACAAAGAGACTACAATGCCAAGGATGGACCTTGAAATGCAGCCCAATTGGGCGGCGCTTTTTTGTCGATTCAGAAAACTGGCGATGTTATGATACCAGGGCGTATGAAAGTTGTCCAGTATTATGCGCACCATGTATAGTCATTAAAAAAATTATACTCACTCTATAACAAGGCTAACTGTAAGGGTTTACATGGCACAAATACCAAAGGTACCAGAACTTAAGAAAGATGAGTCATAATTCCATAATTTTATTTTTTTAGATCAACAGTACTGGTTTTCACTGACTGTCATTCTGGTCTACGGTCTTATGTAGAGGTACAAGGATTTTCATTCCTCCATATTGAATTGTGCCATCAACTTTGTGACATTTGCATAACAAAAGCGTTCTTTTGTTTCAGTCTCTCCTCTCCAACTTTGGAAAGGAGTCAGCACACGTGATAAAGCGCGGTCTCCTTTGGCAGCAACGAGACCGATTATTCAGTAGATGGAAAGAGCGGTACTTCGTCTTGACCAAGGACTACTTGCACTGTTTCCGGAGAGCTTCAGGAGCTGACAGGATATCGGAAATGGGGCAGTTCCTCTTCAAGGTCAAACTAGTCGACATTGTACGGATTGAGTGGGAGAACAAGAAGACTTATAGCACAGGTAAGTTAATGCCTACTACTTCCAACAATCAAAGCCAAGAGAGAAATTTCTCTTGGGACGGGATTCGAACCCTCGCAGCGCACGGCGACTGATCAGGAGACGAAGCCATATCTAAGCAGTAGCTGTGTATTTTTTTAAATCCATATGTGTATAGCTGCTGCAATTATCGGTCTCCAACTGAGTCATTTTATATTGTTTCTATCATAAATTTAAAATGGACTAACGTTTGAAAACGGACAAAGATTCAGATCGTTCCTAATCTCTGTCTTTGTTCTACAAAGTTCTGATGATTCTGAGTCGTTTTCAAGACAATATTTCAAGCTGGTTGGAAAATAAAAGATTGGTTTTCTATGTTTTCAAAATTTCTATACACTTTTTGGGCGTAGTGAAAGTACTTTCAGTGAGTGATTGATTTTGAAACTTGCAAGCTGCACTACATATTCTCAAAAATTGGAAATAAATAATCAAGGGGCACTTATTTATCGAGAAGCTTAAACTGGCCATTATAACAAATTTAAAAATTCCTATTTACCTATATATATATATACAGGGTGACTTCGAAGTTGAGTCATTTATTTTAACAGTGAGTAGATCTGATCAAAAGAAATGTTTTTTCCTTTAACATTTTTCTGGTAAAATTAAAGTAATAAAGTTATAGCCCTTTAGAAGTTTGAGTACCGCCCTGTCTCAATAATAATATTATGTGCTCGTGTTTGGTAACAACGGATATAATCCGCCTTATCCGTTCATCGCATCGGAAACAAAAAAGCGAAAGAATTTGAAACGATGTTTTTACTACAATGTACAATCTTATTCAGTTGTATTCAGTCGATGTGTCAGTCGGTAACGCGTGAGTGAATAGTGAATAAAAAATGGCAAATGTTTATGAAAATGCTGAATGTAGTACAAAGGGCTCGTGAATCAGGTGACTTAAGACCTCACAGGGAGGGCATGCCGGTGCTCCAAGACCGCACGATCAAATACAGATCCGCACTGAAATACTTGTCGGGAGGATACTTTATAAAACAAGGTAACATTTTTTTTTTTATTTTTTTTTTATTTTTACACACATATTTTGGTTTATCTTCCTTCTACAATCATTATCTGAAAATTAATGACTCAACTTCAAAGTCACCCTGTATATATACGAGTATATGTATATCTATACATTTCGACGCCAACAGTACCATGTCAATTTACTTGGCAGTATTTTTACCAAACCAAAAAGAAAAATATGACTTAGTGAAGTCTTTAAAAAGTACCCACGTCAATGCTGCGCCCCTTAGTCGCCATCACTGCAATTCACATAGAACGCAAATAAATTGTATTGTGGGACATGCCGACTCCGGACGGAACTTGAGAAAGGAAACTGATGCATACGAATTTTCTTATCTGGAAATTCGGTTATACAAATTCCCGTCACTCCGCGACACGTGAGACAAATAGCAATGTATAAAATTATATTGCATACAATATCATTACTATTTTCTTTTGATGCCGCTAGATTTTGTCGAGCTGTTCAACAAGGCGTCCACATGAAAAATCTTTGTAACTGAATGTGTTATTTTATTAGAGGCTGAAAAACCAACATGAAAAATGTGAATAATTGCTAGTAAGCTTAAATAATATACTTGATAAAAACCTCGAGCGGTATACGCTATACTATTACAGGTGCTTTCTCCATATTAGTTACACATATACAGGGTGTTTCACAATAACATGTCAGTTTCTCGTATACGTATAGAATACAAAAAACAATATCACAAGTTATTGTTGGAACTCAATTTTTCTTATGTATATCAACAACATTTTGATAGTGTCCATGGAAAACAGTTAACTCACATCCCGTGTAATACTGCTCCAAGAAATATATTTTTGGAAAGCTTGCTGCTTCAACTAAAATATATTTTTTGTATTCCGAACACAGTCTGGTTTTAATATCAAAACCAAAATTAATAAAATGAAACAACGGTCAATTTTATCGATGACAGACGAAAGTACATTTTTTCAACATAAAGATCAGGCTTTCAAAAAATGTTAATGTTGGACGATTACGATACAGAGTGTAAAAATATTTGGTAATAATAGAGGAAAGTCTGGAATATTGTTTACCAACTCAAAATTTATTAAAATGTATATTTTTTAGCCATCTATTTGCCTCTTGGCATCATATCTGACCAAAACTTATAATCGGCGGTCGTTCGTAAATTTATTTGTTTCTGTGAATTGTGTTCACGCAGGATGTATTATACAACCTTAGATAAGCATTTGTGTCCAAATAATCGGTTTCTAACAGTTGAGGTGGCAGTTTTCATAATAATTATTGGTTATTTAGCAAGGTTTTAGCCTCGTAAAATTTGGCCCAACAACAGTTTTTAAAAAGAAATAGAATAATTTGTGTCAATCATATCGGTTTAGTAATTTGTACCACCATCTGGCTTGTTGAATTTTACCGATTCTTGTGCTTAAATTAAACAAGTATGTATTGTCAGATATTTGGTATGATAATATCTTTATTCCAACAATATGCTCCAAATCGGTGAGTCTTATGTTTAAGTTCTACAAATGAAACTCTTCGATTTATATGGAGATCTTAAGTCTCGACTCATTAGAGTAATATTTTGTCTCACATATGCTACTAATTTATGATATCAGTCTAAATAAATCATTTCATTAAAGTCTAATGTTTTTTGGTAAAGTACAATTTACAAACCGCATGGTACAACTTAACCAACCAGTTAGATAAATTCTACCCTTGGCAACATTTTTTAAAAAGCTCGATATCCTGAACTCTCAGTTGTTACATAAGGTTTTTGTTGTTCATTTTGATAGAAATGTAAGTATAATAAACTGACTTTAAATTATGATTCATTTCAAATAAGTTATTTACGAGTTTTTATTTCGCAAAACATCCCAAATGGTACAAATTATCCTACTTTACGTAGGGGCTAGTGCATCCCTGGCGATCTAATGAGTTAATTATCTACCATGGCCACCATGATGTGAGGGTCCAGCTATACTAAAATTGGAACAATCAGAGAAGATTGGTATAGCACCTGCGCAAGGATAATACGCAAAACCGTGAAGTGTTCTCCATTTTTCACTAGCAAAGAAAGAGGCACATTAGAAGGGCTTTTGACATATGGAATCATGAGAATTATCATCTGAATGGAAAGAAATGGCTTGAAATTAGCTCCTGAGAAGACGAAAGTGGTTATACAAGTTGACAGACAGATGCAAACTAGCTGCTAAAATGCAAATGAGTACCTGGGTGCGTGGCTCGACAAATATTTGAGGAGGATTGATATAGGTAAATGAAGCCGTTACATCCCTAACACAGCTAGTGCCATCTGATGGAGGCACCAGTACTGAGAGATGTAGGACTTTGACAGGAGTAGCTAACTCAAGTATAGGGTTTGTCCGGAAAGTAATCGGACTCATTTTCTCCCGCCATGACTGTACTTCGGAGCGTGCACGCACCGACTGGATTCGGTAGAGGGCGTTCTTAGCTAACGAATGAGCGGCTGGTCAGTTGTCTCCGAGCACTTGGAGAGTCAGGACAGGCATTTTTGCGCGACGTCTTTCTGTGAGTGGTGCAAGTCGAAAATGCAGCGTTCGTTAGAGCAGAGGTACGCGATTAAATTCTGTGTGAAACTCGGTAAATCAACGACAGAGACGTTTGATATGATCAAGCAGGCTTACCCAGGTGTTGCTTTAGCAAGAAGTGGTGTGTTTCGGTGGCACCAGGCCTTTTTGGAGGGCCGGGAAGAGGTCGCTGATGAAGACCGCGCTGGAAGACCTTCGACTTCGACAAACACCGATAATGTGGCTCGTGTAAGCAAAGTTTTGAACTCAGACAGTCGACTAAGTATTCGTTTAATTGCCCAGATCTTAAATTTACCAAAATCTGTGGTTCATGACATTGTGACACAGCATTTTAACATGCGCAAGGTGTGCGCGAAGATGGTCCCAAAAGTGCTCACTGACGACCAGAAATTGCGGCCAGTGGAAGTGTGCCAAGAAAATTTGAACATGTGCGTAAGTGACCCAGAATTTTTGAATAACGTAATCACAGGTGACGAATCGTGGATCTTTGAGCATTATCCCGAGACAAAGAGGCAATCTTCCGAGTGGCACACGACGGCGTCTCCTCGCCCAAAAAAGGGAAGAATGAGCAAATCCAAAGTGAAAACGATGCTCATTGTCTTTTTTGACATCAAAGGCATCGTCCACCATGAATTTGTTCCTCCTGGACAAACCATCAACGCCAAGTTTTACGTGGAAGTACTCAGGAGACTCAAACGAAGGGTCAGTTGGGTCCGACAAGACATCGCAGCCGACTATAAGTTGCATCACGACAACGCCCCGGCTCACACCGCCTTTCTTGTTAACAGCTACCTGACCAAGCCGGCATCCCAATGTATCCGCAGCCGCCCTACAGCCCAGATGTGCCCCCCCCCCGGACTTTTTTTTGTTCCTGAAAAGGCCGATGAAAGGCAAGCATTTTGAGACGACAGAGGGGATCCAAGCAGCATGCACCGCGGCTCTCAAGAATGCCTTCCGTGACTCCTTCAATGCTTGGAAATCGCGCTGGCAGCGCTGCATCGACGCAGAAGGAGCCTATTTTGAAAGTTTTTAAAGAATTGTAACGATTGGGTCAATACATTTTTTTAAATCGACTCAGTCCTATTACTTTTCGGACAAACCCTGTATGTTGTGCGGAGGCCTTATCTTTAACAAGATCTTCAGAAAAAATAAATATAGGCAACTAATGCTCAGAAGCCAGCAAAAATTCAGCCAGATGTCAAAAGAGATGAGATGCAACTAGTCATGGTGCATGGACTAGAAGTCTGATCCCAGATATTGAAGCTTGGATTGACAAGGAAGCGATGGGGATAGATTACTATACTGCGCAGCTGTTCACCAGGATAAGATAGTTTTGAAAGCTACCTGAAAAAGCTAGGAAAGAGATATTACGCGAACTTCAAAGATGAGGATACTCCTAATCATCTACTCGGTTGACTACCAAAGGTTGTCGGAATTGACGTTCGGGGAGAGGCTCACTGCTGACAATCTTGCTTTAAGGGGGGCAAGGTGCAGGATGACAACCAAGGAACCAACAAAAGGTTGATATTTTCCAAGTTTTGAAGGTACATAAGTATGTATATGCGACGTTGAAAATAAGATGACTAAATACATTTGGCGCAACACCGTGAAACTGTCAATATTGTCCTCCAGAAGCTTTCTAATTGCTCTTAGATGTTAACGATATACATGAATATCATGAGGTACTATGAGTCTTTGTCCAAGAAAGGTTTTCTCTCTATGTATTTTTCTTTTATATTTCGCCAAGTAGAGGGGAACTAGGCAGACCGTCTAAACGTATTACCTGTTCGAATTTTACTTCAGGACGCTGGCTTTCCTTTTAGTTCGCAGTTTTGTTCGTTTAGGGTTGAAAAGCCGGGTTGAAAGCCCTGAAAGCTTTGACGTTAGTTGGTGTTATAATTGAATTTTCTTTTAATGTATTTCATCCCTGCTTACCCTCTTCATGCCAGCGAGGCTATGTTGGTTTTCCGGGCTTAACAGTAGGAATAATAGTGGTTGTTCGTCTGCATGTTTACCTCACCGATAAATTAAAATACAGGTGTAAAAAAAAACAATTTTTATATTGAAGCAGCAGAGTAGGCAGAAGCCAGGTCACCGCGGCTGATATGACTAGCTTGAAGAAGCTTTGGTAATCCGATATTTGAACTGCCTAGGGATAGTATAACTGAGACAAGGTAGATTGTACTACAATCTCGGTACCCTAGGGAGCTATTGATGAGATGTGTTCGTGCCAAATGAAGTCCTCAGTGATCTGGACTCCGACCAGCCGAAATATAACTCGGCCTTTGATAGAAACCGATGAGCGCTAGGACGTCTCGTGTTAGCCAAGGTACAGTACTATATTTTGGAAGCGTGAGCGTCCCCAAGCAGTAATAATCTCCAGGTCTCTTATCAGGGAGGAAGTCGCTGCTGTCTTCTTTTCTCTAGCTTAACAACAGAAATCGGTTTGTCACTCTGAATTCTTGCGTGTACAGTGCCATCGTCAGCAAAGCTGCAGATCGGATTGATCGTACAGGAAAAAAGGTTGTTAATATATAGGTCAGCCACCCATCTACAAAGTTTCTCTGGGAGGCAATAGGATGGTTGTTTGTACAAGAGAGCAGCATGCCACAGCTGATCGAACATCATGAGCCTCACTATAAGTCTGGGTGAGTTTACTCCACAGTTGCTTGGCGGAAGCTAATAGGTCCCATGTGGATGACTGGTGCTGTAAACTATACTGCCTGTCGCTAATCAAACTGTGACGTTCAGGGTAGTCAAGAAGTTTCCGATTGATGCACATCTCCGCCACCTTGATGTTTCGGACATCTCTATGGCTTTTTTCAAACTACGTAAACGTTAATATTCACAAACACATAAGACCTGGATTAGCACTCCTTTAACAATCTGATCAGCTATGATGTATTCTTTATTTCTTTACATTTACTGCTTTTTTCATATAATTTTCATAACCGTATAATTTATCTTTGGCATTTTTTGTTAAAGAGATTCGGTTTTCTGCCATTTCTAACCTCATGAATTTTTGGGCAAAAGGCCCTCGGCCTACCCTAATTGATAGAAGAAGTCAAGTCAAGTAAACGTTAATTTGACCTTTTGATCTTTCAACATTTTGATTTCTTGTTCTGTGAATCGCTCGATACGTCAGTCTTTTAAGTTTTGCATATAGAAACATAGTAGGCCGCGCGGATCGAACGTCAGTACTGAATCTTAACCTTACTCTTTAGTAAACTTAAATTCAAAGTTTTACAACAATACGTCCAGTGTTATCACTGCAGTGAATTTTTAAGTGTCACCAAGTTACTAGAAAAATGGAACTCAACCGAGAACATTTTCGCTACATAATTTATTACAACTTTCGGAGACAATTATCGCAACAAGAATGCCTTGCTGAGTTACAGTCTATTTTCGGCAACGAAGCGCCACATCAGTCGACAATTACCCGTTGGTACGGAGAATTCAAACGTGGACGCGTGTGTCTTAGCAACGATCCCAGGGTGTGTGCACCAAAAACGGCAGTCATCCAGGAAAACGTCGATGCTGTGCGCAAACTCATCATTGAAGATAGACATGTGACATATGAAGATCTCAAAGACCTCAATTCAAAAAATTTTACGTGAAGAATTAGGAGTAAGAAAATTAGTTTCTCGTTGGATACCCCACCTGTTGACTGAAGAGCAGAAAGCAGCTAGGGTTAATTGGTGTCAAAAAACGCTTGACCGTTTCAATTCCGGAAACTCAAAAATGTGTACAGCATTGTTAGTGGTGATGAATCGTGGATTTTCTGTTATGAACCAGAAAATAAACGACAGTTGGCTGTTTGGGTGTTCCAAGGTGAAGAAAAGCCAACAAAAGTCAACCGTTCTCGAAGTGTTTCGCAAAAGATGGTCGCGACATTTGTGTCAAAAGCGGGTCATATTGCAACAATTCCTCTTAATGAGCAAAGAACTGTTACTGCGGATTGGTATACCACCATTTGTTTGCAAAAAGTCATCACCGAGCTTCGAAAAATCAACCCCGAAAGAAGAATCATCCTCCACCAAGACAATGCAAGCTCGCACACAGCCCAAAAAACAAGGCAGTATTTAACGGAAGATAACGTGAAATTATTGGACCGTCCTCCATATAGTCCCGATCTAAGTCCTAACGATTTGTTTACTTTCCCGAAAATTAAAAACAGACTGCGTGGTCACAGGTTCCAGTCACCAGAAGAAGCAGCTGACGCATTCAAAAATGCCGTTTTCGATCTGCCAGCAAACGAGTGGAATAAGTGCTTCGAAAATTCGTTCGAGCGCATGCAGATGTGTATTAATCTTCGTGGAGAATACTTCGAAAAACAATAAAGTCATTTAAAACTACCTACCGTGTTGTTTTATTTCCATATGCAAAACTCAAAAGACATCCCTCGTATTAAGTATAACATGACATGTACATCACAAAAAACCGTGTCACTCATTTCAGTCTATCGATCCGCTAAACCTTGGCTATAACTTAGTACCGGTCGGATTTTGATGAAATTGTCACTTAAGATTACTACTGTGCCATGAACAAAGAAGCTTTGTAGCTTTTGGGAATCGATGTACGGACATGCTCGTTGCTGTAATTTGTGGAAATTGTTTTTCATGGAAAGCCCAATTAGTGCATTCATGCTTCTGACTTTTTGGTGCCACTGTGTATACGTATAGATGAAGTTGCACTACACAGAAAATTGTGCGAAGCCGTGGAATGTACAGAGTCTGCCTGACGCCATTTTCTTCATTGTTTCAGTTGCACTGGTCCTCGGCCGGGATGGTAAAATCTATCTACGGGCATCAGACGGATTGGAAGACTGGTTCGAAATGTTAGAAGAGTGCATGCTGGCAAGCAAAGAGCGTAGAAGGGCCCTAAGATATTCGCACAACGAAGGCAAGACAACGGACAACAACAACATCACCTCGTCTCTCGATGAATGGATAGCTGCGCGTCAGAAAATACGTAAGTTCATTTTTTGATAAAAATAAAGATGTGGGCGGTAATATGGTTCCAAGGAGAACACCAGAGTTATCACGGCACCTAATTTGGGGAAAACAGCAAACCACAGGTAAAGCTAAACTAAAGGGTATCTCAATAGATACCTCGGGAGTTAAATCTAATGACATATTTCAACGGCCCAATATTTATCAGAATTGTGCAAAGCATTCTCATTTTTGTATGAAAAATACAATGGTGGAACTGAAAATGTTCCCCTTTGGTAACCCTAGTTGGATAATACACATCTAAACAATACGTTTTTTCAACAAGATCCACGTGTCATACAGTGGAGAAAACTTTCTCGAAATCGTGAACCTGCGAGATCATACAATCTAACTCCCCCCTCTCGACATTTTTTGCGGGGATTTCTCAAAAATAAACTGCAGACGATTAAGGATCTGAAGCAAAATATTTCTCAACTTATTGGTAAAATTGAGCTGCAATTACCCCAGCAACAGCTTAGAGGGACAGTTAGAGAATATCATTTACAATATAAAACTCACCCACATCCAAATTCTGATAATATGAACAAGCATAATATTTTCCAAAATGATCTGTTTTATCTAAAGACGGAATCCTGAATCCCTTATGTCAAAGTATACACGTGTCAAAATAGAAGAGCCACCTATGATAAGCGCAAGATCAATACTGGGAATAGACAAGCTCAGAGGTTATCTCAGAGCCAAATAGAGGAAGCAGAGAGAATTCGAAGGAGTAATGGAGCTCCTACTACTCTTTGAGGCACACCGATGGTTCTATGGTAAGAAAATCGATGGCGTACACGTTTCTGCGATGATTACCTGGGATAGCTATCGGATAGATGTCACCCTGAACGTTCTGTCAGATTAAAAATTTATTTCGATTCTAGATTTAAAGACTGGATTAGAGCTGTGGCAGTTCAGTGATGCCATTTGGTTTATGCAATGCTCCAGAAACTTTTAGGACGCTAATAAACAACCGATGAGGAAAAATCAGTTGAAAGTACCTAGATAACATAATCAGAATAACTCAGGAAAATGTTTCAGAGACTTCGAGATGTCATCTTTGTTCCGAATCCCAAGTTAAAAAACAGAATCTTTCTGATGTCATGATCCTCCCAGAATACTATGCAACTGCTTAATGAATCATGCCTACTTTGTTTAAATTTTAATGCCACTTTTTGCTGCTATATCCTCCCTACTTTTCAACGTTTGCTTTTCCGCGATTTTCTCTTCTCCCGTAGTCCGAAGACTGCACGAGATTGTGTAAATTATGCATGTATTTTGGAAACTATCCCCCTCGTTTACGAATCCCTTTTGTTTTGGCTTTTGCCGACGTTTTTTTCTCCCCCCGGGGGACGTAGGAGATTCTTTATGTGTACGGAAAAATTGTACCACAGAAAGAAAGGACATGCATGAGTTAACATTTACGCTGAAGCTTACTCAAATACTCATTATTATTACAAAAAGCGGCAAGAGTATGAACAGCTTCCAATAGGTTGGAAGGGAATTATAGTGGTGCGTGGGGTCACATACCATTTATCGACATGGTTTCTCAAGAATCAACTAACTCCAATATAATTCAGAGGTACAACAAAGTAAAGGAAGTAGCATATGATAGCCGAGCGACTCTGATGGCGCTATCTCCAACGACATGATCAAATCTGCTTTAGAAGTACAGCCATTCAAAACCTAGCACTTGCAAAAGACCGTGAGAGAACATATAAACTAGGAGCCAAGGTTGCGTTAATATCACCCTGGACAATAGGGATAGGGCAGCCAGCGGACTGACGGAAGCGTGGTTGATCAGGGATGAGCTTAGACAGGTCCAGAAAACAGTCAAACCCAATAGTAGACTTTTAGTTAGAATTTTCATGAGCTGCTGCACAAGAAATGAAACCATTCCACTTCCTAGTAAAATTTGGAGCACACCAAAGCCTTAGAGGTGAGATATTGGTCATGGAAATCTTGTATAAGAATAAGCTAGCGATCTTCACCGAATTCTATAAAGTAATCTCAACGGATGTTTCTATGGAAAAAGTCGTGAATTGAGAATGTAAATTTTATTTTTTTTATCTTCCAGATATGGGACGACTGCCTACAGATAGCGTGAGTACGAGACAGGAAACTGTAAAGAAACGCATTAGGGCTCCAAGAGATGAAGACTGGGAACCACCGAATTTCGACAATAGGCTATCACGTAAGTACAAATATCTGACCTTACTATACTAACCAATGTCTATAAATTAACTTCATTTCGCACTCTGCTAAAGACTATCGTTCTGGCGTAAGTAGTCTTTTTCCAACATCACTTGCTAAAATTTGTTGTCAGGGAACAAAGAAATAATTCAGAAGTTGCATTCGTATATGAATTAACTTCCGATGTCTACCAGCCTTCTTTATTTCAATGACAATAGAATCATAGCAATGACTTCTGTATACATTTTAAAACACATTTTGCAAAATACGTTTGCATTATCATACACACAATACGTACATTGTTTAGTAGAGACAATAGTGATAAAGATAAAATTATGCACCAATAGACTTGACAATGAATGAATCTTGAATTTTAGAGGCATCCCGGCCACCATAAGGAGCCAGTGCATAGGCCGCTTAAGCGGGCCCTTATGCACCTCTACAATACTTAAATCACAAGCCTCGCCCTTTTAGCGAAGTTGAGAATCGCCTTGAGTCCAAGCTCCTTTACGTCCTGAGGGTCCAAAGTAATGGACCCCAGTATAGTCTGCCTATAGTAGCTCAGAGCTTCACAGCGACACAAAACGTGCGCCGAGGTCTCTTCCTCTACTCCGCAGCGTTCGCATAAGGGATCCTCAGCCACCCCCATCACGTGCAGGTGCCGCCTTAACGTGTTATGGCCAGACAACAGTCCCACCAGCAACCTTAGGTTGGCTCTACCCAGAGATAGGCAGAAGCGTCCATCCTTAGCACTGGGCCCTTCAATGAGCTCTCGTGCCTGGCGGAGATGTCTAGAGATACTTCTCCATTTCTGAGAGTGTTGTCTTGCAACCCACGTCTCCATTTTCCTCCTAGCTTTATGCGCGGTTACTCCTAGAGCTGGCTCAGGACCAACGAGCTTGCTGGCTGATCCTGTTTTCGCCAGAGTGTCCGCCGTCTCATTGCCCCTTATCCCAGCGTGCCCCGGTACCCATATTAACGATACCGGATGCCTCGCTGCGAGGCAATCCAGAGCCTCCCTGCATTGCAATACAAGACTCGAAGTAATCTTACATGCACTTAGTGCTTTCATTGCAGCCTGGCTGTCGGATAAGATTGTTATTCTTCTCCTAGGCCCACCCTCCTCCAGAATGTGAGATACACAAGCCAGAATCGCAAAGATTTCCGCCTGGAAAATGGTGGTGTACTCACCGAGAGGCAGAGATAGCCTAGTTCTAGGTCCAGAGACCCCAGCACCTGAGCCCTCTTCGGTGACCGAGCCGTCCGTGTACCAGACCTGCCCGCTCACTTCGGAGAGTCCTCGGCTACCGGCGTCCCACTCCTCCCTCGTTGGGTACTCCACAATGAACTTGCGGTTGAAGCGATATTTAGGGGTAATACGATCACCCCTGCTTAGAAGGACGGGGTCCTCCCTATCTAATTCGACTAATATGGCAGTATGCCCCTTGACCGGATTCAAGAAAGCCCAGCTGCCCTGACTCCACAGTCGATGAGCGACTACTCTCGCTTCACCGCGGATCACCAGATCCAACGGTGGGAGATCCAACAGAGCTTCCATTGCACTCAATGGCGTTGTTCGCACTGCGCTTGTAATGCTAATACAGGCCAAACGCTGAATTTTATTGAGTTTGGCCTTAGTTGACTCAGTTCTAATGCAAGGCCACCAGACCAGGGAGCCGTACAAGAGAGATGGACGTACTATCGTCGTGTAGAGCCAGTATACCACTTTGGGTTTAAGCCCCCACCTTACACCGACAACACGTCTACAAGCCCACATCGAATTGCGAGCCTTGCTAACCTTGTGTTCCACATGCTCTCTCCAGTTCAGTTTGCAGTCCAGGATAATTCCCAGATATTTCACTGACTGGGACAAAACTAATCTAGTCCCAAAGAAGGTAGGCATGACCAGTCCGTCAAGCCTTCTTCTCCTAGTGAATAGGATCAGCTCGGTCTTTTCAGCATTAACAGAAAGATCGACTTCCCTACACCACGATTCCACGGAGCGCAGAGCGCCCTGCATAATTTCCGAGACTGTTCTACAGAAACGCCCCCTAACCACTATGCTTACGTCATCAGCATAGGCTTGCACGTAGACACCCATACTGTTGAGCCTAACGAGCAGTTCGTTCACCACGATACACCACAGTAGGGGTGACAGAACTCCACCCTGAGGGCAGCCTCTAGCTACGTTCACGCTGCAGCTTACGTTATTCAGCATAGCTGTAGACTTGACAAAGCATCAATTATTATTTATACAAATCAGCTGAATAATATTAACTTTTCCCTTCACCACTTTACATTCCGAAAACAGGTAAAAAATGTTCATGTGTAAGAGCATTGAGACTAATAACATTAACATTAGATCAAGATCAAGTTTGATTCATCCCAGTATTGAGTTTGATGAACAGCAAATTTGTAGTCTTCGCGTCAGAAGGAAAAAACCTGATTTTCCGTATTCATAAGCCTACCTCAACTCAACTCATCAGTGTTCATGTCCCCAACTGAGAATCAAGCTGGACCTTATAATTTGTTTTGAGGGAATGTACACTTTCACAAATAGTTATCTTGCCTATGATCGCCCCCAGAGAAAAATTTCTGCGCCTGCTCATATCAGTGTTTGATAAATTTTGTCCATGATACAGTGGTTTTGTCATGGTGGTACACACCTTACAAAAGCCGTCCAGTAGTTATAGGAGTTGCTTTGAAAATTTTCCCAATTCCAAAATTGAAAGTTGCCACAAATGTGCAAAATGTGAAAGTGATTTTTTAGTCTAGGCCGAGAAACACCACTAAAATTCTGACGAAAGTGATAGATTGATACCATTTCGGTCATACTTTTATTAAAGACCTACTTTGTGTTGCTCTACATTTAATAATTACTCCCTAGTTACACACGAATCCACGTTGGAATACGTAATGTTAACCGGGTGAGCAGGTTAGAAAGCGTGTACAACTGTACAAGCAGAAGACATTGCTTTAAAAACTAGTATCACTTTCTTTTGAATACACGTGTAGTTTCGTTTTTAATATAATCCAATTCAATTAGATTATATGAAATAATCAGTGGATAGTATGCTTATGGGTATCTATGTCTATGTCCAGGGTTACGGTAGTGGAACATATTTGCTTAAAATATTTTTCCAAATATCTCAAAAACTATAACTAATATCTAGGAACATAAACATTTGCCTTAGTTAGTCACTGGCAATAGTCGTAGAGCTTAGTGAGATAAAAGAAATTAGCATCCTCACAAAACTTCTATCTTGATGGTTCAATGTTTGAACCACCTAAAGTTGGTTGGAAAAGCCTTTTCTAACAGATTGTTCCATAATTCCAATTCTCAAAACAGTCGTACTAGTCAGTAGTCAGTTCCAGACATACATTTATATGCAAGCCTTCGTCCATGTTTTGTGACTCCAAGTTTTTCAGACCATTCGTTCCTAGTTGGGATGCCCTAATCTGTAATATTCCTGACCCATATACATACGAGTTAGAAAGCGCACAACTGCGTTAATGGTCTAGTCACTTTCATTAACTATTTAGTTCAAATTTAATTAATCGTGATGACATTTTAAGCGGTTTGTTCAACCTTTTAATTATTTTCATACCTCGTTAGGCGGATAAACTGGATGGAGGATATTTCGTTAGCGGAATTACAAAATAGATATAATGATTATTTAACCATTAGAAGTACTCAAGATATGCTTACTCTAGGTAGTTTTAGAAGTAATATGGACTGATTCTCATAATAGTCCTAAATTCTACTTTCTTACATTCATTGCGTTTCAGTATACGAAACATCAGATTTCTTTTTTGGTGCGTCATACATAATAACACTTTGTAGAAAAATATTTCCTTTATCGTCATATTGGTTTGCCCACAAAATCGTAAAATTTCTTCTTCTTCTTCTTTCTCTTCTAGTATCCGTTGCTTTATTGTGAGTCTAGGACGAGCTAAAGAATTCTATGCATTCCTAAGTATGGTCGCCAACATTTCATAATGAAAAATAAAATAACTACAACATTGCAATTCAATCCAGAAATGTTTCAAACACTCAAATATAATTCTGGCAGCCGTTAATGGTATTCAGCTCTTGCATTTCCTAAATCTCAGCAAGAATATTCATAAAGGAAATTGGATGGAAGTACTTATAAAATATGAAACGAAATTAAATGGATTTGCATTTATTGACTGCATCCAGCCAGTGTAGTGAAAAACCTGGAATTAAATACAGTAAAACGTTCCGTGGAACCTCAAAAAGAGTGAACATTTGCAGTTGTTCCGTTATATTGTATACACTAACGTGCACATGCTTGGATTTTTGATTATTCACTATTTAATTCAATTCCCTCATAAGTTTTTCATTTTGGATTAACAAAAATTTTCAAAAAACTGATGTAGACCAATTGGAAAGGGTAGGTAGGCTGTCTGACGAAATATGGTGCTATGGGATATTTCCCATCTAGGCAAAATAGCATTTTTGATAGCTGAAATAAGCTCTTCGCACACATTTAAAAAAAATAACATTTTTCGTTCATGTGTACATTGAAAGAACTTATTTGAATACTGTTCATTTTCCTACGGAGAAACCAACCAATAAGAGTTGATTTTTATTACAGAAGCCTATAGAATACGACTATGAATTTCATATCAAACTGTCAACGTCAGGGAATAACGAGTATTTTCCTCACATCTGACACCTCTTTAAACCATAGTCTCAAGTCGTTCTTTCATTGACAAGAAGTTGCTGATCTTGTACTTTTCTATTCAGACGAAATTTTCAACTTCGTATTTATGCTTTGCCTTCGTGCCTCCAAGAAAAAATCGATTATCTCCATTTCTGAAAATTAACTTACATTTTCAAACCACCTGTTGTTGACACTATTACAACCAAGCCCCTCGGCATTCCTCGCTCTCACATAAAACGCAAAATGCACGCTGTATCAAGGTAATCATACTTTTTCATACCTTTTTTCCGTGAGTCATGGATACCAATTATTTTACAAAATTCAACAATAAATCTTTAGACATTCGTTTGAAAGGCTATGCGGCAATGTACTTAGCATAATAACACCTGTAAGAGTACGCTGAAATATGAGCGACTTTCACAAACGCTATTCAATTGTTAGCAACTTGTCGGCTCCTCATGACTAAGCATTGACGCACCAACACAAGGTGGAGAAATGCTTACCTATAATTATATTAGATAATATCAAAACCGATACCGGAAAAAATGGAATCAAGCAGATCGACTCGGGATTTTCCACACAGTCATAAAAATCTATTTGGAGTAGAAATACCCTAAGATAGATGTCTTAACTACGTCCTAAACTGATCGGAAAGTTGTCAAACTAAAAAAATTTTACACCCTCAAAAATTATCAGAAACACAAAAACGAAGTATTTCAGTTTTCTGACATTTCTCACTTTTCGCTTAAAAGCGGATGGACCTAGACGGCTTTTTCGTCCTTGACATCCTAGTAGTGTCCTGACATAATTCAAAATTTCATAAAAAATTCAAGCAGTACTGTAACTTTCCAAGTGTCGTATATGTCATGTAGCATTTGGAAAATATATGTCAGTTTCATTTGTTTCATTTTACATTTACAATACTTACTTTCTCTACAATTGGTGCTGAAAATGGCGTCAAGTAAATCGACCCGACAGTTATACACTCAAAAGAATAAATGATTTCAACAGTTTCCTGTCTCGACTCTACAACCCTTCTTATCTATTTAAATACAGGGTTTGTCCGGAAAGTAATAGGACTGAGTCGATTTAACAAAATTTATTGAGCCAATCGTTACAATTCTTCAAAAACTTTCAAAATATGCTTCTTCTGCGTCGATGCAGCGCTGCCAGCGCGATTTCCAAGCATTGAAGGCGTCACGGAAGGCATTCTCCGGAATAGCCTTGAGAGCCGCGGTGCATGCTGCTTGGATCCCCTGTCGTCTCAAAATGCTTGCATTTCATCGACCTTTTCTGGCGAGGAAACAAAAAAAAGTCCGGGGGCCACATCTGGGCTGTAGGGCGGCTGCGGAAGCGTTGGGATGCCGGCCTTGATCAGGTAGCTGTTCACAAGAAAGGCGGTGTGAGCCGGGGCGTTGTCGTGGTGCAACTTCCAGTCGGCTGCGATGTCTTGTCGGACCCGACTGACCCTTCGTTTGAGTCTCTTGAGCACTTCCACGTAAAACTTGGCGTTGACGGTTTGTCCAGGAAGAACAAATTCATGGTGGACGATGCCTTTGATGTCAAAAAAGACAATGAGCATCGTTTTCACTTTGGATTTCCTCATTCTTCCCTTTTTTGGGCGAGGAGACGCCGTCGTGTGCCACTCGGAAGATTGCCTCTTTGTCTCGGGATCAAACTCAAAGATCCACGACTCGTCACCTGTGATTACGTTATTCAAAAATTGGGGGTCACTTTCACACAAGTTCAAATTTTCTTGGCACACTTCCACTCGCCGCAATTTCTGGTCGTCAGTGAGCCCTTTTGGGACCATCTTCGCGCACACCTTGCGCATGTTCAAATGCTGTATCACAATGTCATGAACCACAGATTTTGGTAAATTTAACATCTGGGCATTTAAACGAATACTTAGTCGACGGTCTGAGTTCAAAACTTTGCGCACACGAGTCACATTATCGGTGTTTGTCGAAGTCGAAGGTCTTCCAGCACGGTCTTCATCAGCGACCTCTTCCCGGCCCTGCAAAAAGGCCTGGTGCCACCGAAACACACCACTTCTTGCTAAAGGGGTGGGTAAGCCTGCTTGATCATATCAAACGTCTCTGTCGCAGATTTACCCAGTTTCACACAGAATTTAATCGCGTACCTCTGCTTTAAAGAACGCTGCATTTTCGGCTTGCACCACTCATAGAAACACGTCGCGTAAAAATGCCTGTCCTGACTCTCCAAGTGCTCGGAGGCAACTGACCAGCCGCTCATTCGTTAGCTAGGAACGGCCTCTACCGAATCCAGTCGGTGCGCGCACGCTCCGAAGTACAGTCATGGCGAAAGAAAATGAGCCCTATTACTTTCCGGACAAACCCTGTAAATCGTAAATCAAAGAAGACGTACAGGCTCAAGCCGCTCGGCGCCATTACTGATGCTTATAACTACAAACTAGTCGTCCACCGTCTTTAGGTGTCAGCGTTGCCACCTCACGGACTATAGTCGCAAGATTTCTTTTTCCATCATTGAGAAATGGAAATCTTAGGAACAATTATGAAGAAGGTTGAGGGATGGTCTTCCCTTGTAGGGGTTATATTGTGGTTGAGAATGAACAATTTACTTTAAAAGGAAAATGTTACTTCTGATAGAATGATTTTGGGCAACTTCATCCACATCGGATAGATTAACTATGTCATTAACCTTGTCATAAAAATCCGAATTTTTGATTTTTCAAATTTAAATATTTCGGTAACTCCACCGCCTTCAAATCAATTTACGAAAACTATACCTTTTCATTTCTTGTCATGTGCTTCAAAAGCTACCAAGAGATTCTGTCCTTGCCATCAACTTCCAAAAGTATCAAAAATCTTCTACTTGAAGTAGTGGTACCAGTTATTACCAGTAGTAATGTTCTCTCAGAAATCAGAGACGTGTATTTTCCAAGTTACAGAAAGACTAAAAATTACGAGAAAGCAAAGCATAATGAGGTTCCTGTCTGTAACTGATTTGTCCTACTTGAAGGTTTGAATTTTCAATTAATAGTTTTCCCGTACTGTTGGTGCTCTCTAATTAACCAATTATAAGAGGAGACACTAATATTTTAACATCGGTATAATATGCATGTACGTGATTTCATTTTGGTAGTTATACGTGTCATAAATGTTATATCTTTGTATATTGTAAATGCATGACAGTCCTACCAAATTAGGTAATTTTCATTGTAGTGGGTCGATTCAAATCACAATTTTCATGACAAGCAATATTTAAATTTTGTAATTCCAATATCCCTGTCATAGAAATTATTATTCGTTCGTGGTATCGAGGTAAATATTTGAATTTCATAAAATGTAGTTTTTTTAATGGCAAAGTGCTCCTGTCACTTCGCCACAGCAAGACAGCCGAAGATAAAATGCTTTATAGATTCTTCCGTTTCTGAGCACTTTCTACTTAGAAAACCCGATGGAGTCAACCCTAAAAATACAATAAGTTATTTAGTAATCACAAGTTGTAGAAAATTGCAATTATCCACTCCAAACCGATAAATGAAGATGTATTTTTAAGAAAAGGAGAAACTAAAATAAATAAATGATATGTGGCCACTGCTTACGAGCTGTCTAGACGTGCCCCATATGTTGTAACGGAGTGGATTGAGACAAGCAAGCTTGCTGTATCGCTGGAAGAAGAATTATAAACGTAAATCTTGAGGTACGCTTAGTGCTAATAACTGTACCTCGTTTACGTTCACCTGAGCGATATCGGCACTTTACTTTTATATCCAGTGGCGTACTTTAAGTAATAAATACGAAACATTTCTGGCCGATTTCGCTCTTCTGATAGCTTCCTAGCTTATACGAGTTTTAAAGAGGATTAAACTTGCTCCTGAATATTAAAAAGTCGAATTCTAGTACATTTGAGTAGGTCATTTTTCTTGGACAGTAGCATCAGTTCTTTATTTTCCATACTTAAGTGGTAATAAAGGCAAGGCTTACATTCACAAAAGTACAAAAACTGTTACAGAGGCGTTGAGGTTAATTGCAATGAGTTTTGAAGTACCTCAGGTTGGTGTATCTGGCAAAAGCCAGTGGCGTATATGTAGGGGTTGTCCATAAATATTGTGAAAGCGCCTGGTGTGTTAATTATCCATCACAATTTGTAAAACAGTAGGGAAATCTCATGTTTTGAGTTTGTAAATTGGGTTGATTCGGAAATGAAAGTTACCAACTCCAGCCTTTAATATTTTAAGGGTGATCAAGCGCGGATTTAGGGTGTACAGCGAGGGAGGCGACGCCCAAGTCTCCCATTTTTTCAAGATAATGATATATATAATAATAGGAAAATAATCGGCAAAAGATCAATAACAGTTACATTATTTTCACTGTACAGATTGAAAATATAATGCTATTTAAAACTCCTCAGAGAATGACGAACTTGCCGACTTTTAGGATCAAAATTCCTTCCAATATTTCTTGTAGCCCGTCATTTCTAAAATATGTCAACGTTGTCAAGGCTTAAATATTTTTTACGTCATGTTTACGATTTCAAAGACGTCATGATTATAAAAGCCAGGCACACCGTCCCATGATTTTCTTGGTCTTCAACTTCATTATTTTCTTTTCCAGTGCTGACAGACATTGACATCTCCTCCTCCCTGACGTACGATGGTGGTGCGGGCGGTGACTCCACCTCCGCTTCGAGCACAGTGGGCGGAGCTTCAACTAGCTCCACCTCCTACCGACTTAGCGATGACGTATTCTGCGTACGTCCGCCCGCGCTGGCTCGTCTCGGCTCTTTCCGCTCGACTTCGGCTTCATTGGGCGGTGCTTCGGCTGGACGCGGGATTGCGACTCCGGTATCGCCCAAGCGCACGCTGAGGGCGCCTACTAAGGGAGCACCACCTCCGATACAGGTATCTAGGCGGGACGCTGTGGATGTGGATAGAGTGTACTTCAAGTTTAGAGGTAAGTAAGTGAATAATATAGTGTGAAGATAAAGTTTGTATAAGCAGCTATATTATGATAGAAAAAGAAACATGCTGCTCTTGTAGTACGAGCGTACCAAATGTTACGCTGATGTATGATAATTTTGGCCCGTGTAATAGGAAGGATGCGACAATGGTGCTCTCGTTCAAAAAAAAACAAATCTACAGGTATGATAAAGTCACTCTCAATAGCTGTGATAGAAATCAGATTGCAGTGCCTTCACATAGTTTTACAATGTGAAGGCCATCCATACTATAGTCGGGTACCAAATCGGCAGATAGTAACATAACCACTGTTTCAAATGCGGCGAAATCTGCTCAAATAAAAGCAATGCTTCTTTAATGGATTTCAACATTTTATCTACAATCGACCGTAAAGTATACTTTGTGGATAGATCCTCCAGCGTGCTGCATGAAGTCTTACTTTTCAGTTCATGGATTCCGTTATACCCTAGGGTAAACTATGTTTGAATTAACCTATCATGAAGCCAGCATGGCAACCATGGGAGCCGTTCTCGATTATTTTTGGCTAGGCTACAGTTAATTTGTTTATATTTTTTTATGTCAAGCTACTCTAAATTGATTTTAGAACTTCGTAGATAAAACATGTGTTCGTACCTAGAGGTTAATAAGTTTTGCGCGTTAAAGCCCGCAGAGCGCTAGACAACTATTAAGTACTCAGATATTTTCCATCAATAATATTTCTGCGTCTTCTCTACAAGGATTCAAGGTTGAATAGCTTGTAGATATTTGATCCAAATTATGCAAAGTTACCTCTACAAGGATAGACCAAAACAAGAGCGTATCCGAGGGGGCAAAGGGGGGGGGGGGCAACTGCCATCCGTTAAAATCTGAAACCTCGCCTTTGGGATCTCGGAAACGGTAAAACGAATGTCACACGATTAGTATTTACTGTGGTCCGTACCATCAGTAGATTTCTACGTAACATTATGCATCAATAATTACCGACGTCCAGGCTACACAGTCAATAAATATCACACTTCAAGATAAATATACATCGCGGGGTACTTTATGGGGGCAAGTTGCGTAGATAAATAAATAAAATGGACAGTTTGGAAATTCAGTATTTCCGAATTTACTCTCAGGCGTTTTTATTTTTTCCTGGCTATACTCCCAAACAAAACTTTTTCAAACATAAATATTGTCTACAAATTTCAAACAAATTACGCAATAACATCGCCACTTTTTCTCTTCTACACGGTGGCATACTTAGAATGTCGACCTGACGTTCCAGCTCAGAGTTTTAAGGTTGTACCGTTTTCGATGTCTTCATGATTACCCTTAGGTAATATAAATTTATACTCATTTAATGAGTTGTTACATTGTGTTGATCCTCATTCGATGAGTTTAAACCGTCTAAACTAACCAGATGAATTTAGACACTTGAAGTTTTATGTCAATGCGTAACATGCTATCATCTTTGATATGCTATGAATTAAATGACTATCTGATAATTTCAAGGCTTGCTCAATTAAAAAAATTATAATATGACATGCTATAATATTTGAAATCAGAATTAAAAGCTATTCGTCTATGCAAAAATTGCAGGAATAAAAAAAATAAAAGTTGAGGCAGGGGATAAGCGGTAATGTCACTATGCAGTTTATTTTGCAATCATATCACAAATAAATTCAGGAAACAATAAACGATTTTGGGAAAACTCGTCTCTTTTTCCTTTGGGGATACGGGAATTAACAAAACAAATGCATTGTATAAAATTTATAAATAGGCGACCTTGCCACCATTCAACCGACCCGTATCTCTTACCGTTTCGGAGATCACAATGAAAATGTGACCAATTTGTTTTTCAAAACATTCTAGAACTAACTAGGTACATATCTTTTTGCATATTGTATGGAACTATTTTTGGCTGCATAAAGACGACTAAATTCAATAAGTAATCTTAGTAGTTTTCCATATCCATATGCATTGTCATCGAGGAAGACTATATAAATGGATAAAACAATAAAATGCAAATAAAAAGATAAATATCAAGCATAGTTAAGTAGACATAATTTCCACTTTCACTTCCACCAATTTTTTTTTTCAAGGTGCCCCTCTCTCTTCCGTTTTGAGCTGGGTACGTCTTGAATCAAAATATTGTGATCGCCTCCAATCTTTCTATGTTACAAATCAAATCTCCACATATTCGGAACAGTTTTCCTCACTTGAGTCTTAGGCCAAAAATCTTTCGCCTCACGAGAAGCAAAAGCCGCCCACCCAACAATATATATGCTACACAGCAACAACATATCAGCTAAACTCTACGTCACTGTTTATCGCCCTCTTCCCACAAACATCTATCTCTGTACCACAGCATATACCTACAATACTAAACATCAACGCAACTTTCGAAAAATAACGTTGCGCCGCGTGGCTGACACTGCGTAGTCGCCCGCGGGATACACGTTTTAAATAGCTTTGGCGATTTGTCGTCAAGGCGATTTTTTGTATGCTTTGGTGGCGGTTTTTTCGACAAGTCTATTGGCGATTTCCAGGAATATTTTGGTTACACTGGCGTTTCCGTGAAGTTCCATGTAGTCGAAAATTCTACTAAATGAAACGCATGCATTTTATCAATATAAGATTATTTTTGAGATACCCTTAAATTTGAGAAATTTATATGATTTCAAACGTTGTAGCCCGTCATGCTCAAGTGGGCAGTTGCAGTCATAACGTCATCATCCCAACCACTGCATCGCCACGGCTGGGCGACCCTTCTAATTAAATTTGTGTCAGTAAGATTCGAATTGCTCATGTTGATAGATCATATGTCACAGTTGTTATATGTAGATAGCAACGGTTAGATGATACCAAATATAATATCAAGAATGGAGGAGAATTTTTTCCATTCCGGTTGCAAAAATCTAGCAAAGCTGGTTATAATGATGACTCCTAATAAATGTTCATGAATAATCCGCTGTACATGTTTCAGAACGTCAAAAATTTGACAATACAAGAAATCAGGATATGAAACTTGACGAATATCCTCTGTATATCGGAACTTTATGACTCCCTTTGCAATTTGAATATACACTTTTGAGCCTTCTGACAGATATTTCCAAGATTTAGTACCCAAGGAGCATAGGAACAATGTTCAGGCATTTACTTTTTATTAAAGATATCTCGATGGAAAGAAAATAGTTGGCGATTTTGAATATTCTTCTCATTCCACCTGGATTCGTGATCGTCGTTAGACCTGGCAACCCTGACTGCCGTGATGCTTTGCATAGCGCGTTATGGAGTATAGATTCGCGTAGGTACCTTCCATATCGTCGGGAGTTGCGTTACTGAGTAATTTTGTATATTCTCTGTCTGTACCGCCAACTTACAGCCCTTAGAGTGCACGTCTATTTCGCCCTCCGTTTATCGATCTACACTGAAATAATTTTCTTTTAATTCCAGAGCGATCGTACAGCGACATCCAACGCGTCTAAATGGCAAGAGGGAAGAAGAAAGAGGGGAGGGGATGCAATGAATCCGCAGGAATCACGAAGGCATCCCGACGAAACTCACATCATCGATATTGTATCCCATTGTTTCGAATCTCAGAGCAAGAAAATATAGTGGGGTTGAAAACCCGAGATCTGCTTTTGTTACACCAAGCAGAGATGGGTCAAATCTATTCCTTCGATACGTTCACGATTCTGATGGCGGACTCGGAGTCGATTTATCCAATTTGTTCACGATTCTAATTCATTTTGACATCAGTTCTTTTCGATTCTCACTCCGGTTTCTTTCTATTTCGATTCACGCAAGTTCGAAACAGGTGATTCTGATTAATTTATAAAAAAGTATCTGATTGGTGGCGTTAAAAAGACATTTATTACCCACATATCTATGAAATTATGAAGAAAACCAGGTGTATTGTTGAACTGAAAATATGGTATATAAAAAACATAAATTCAACAATCGTTTATACTCCAAATTTAAGACTTCATACTAAATTATTCTTCAGATTTGAAGCCCTTGCAATCAGAAGCGTTTTATTGCGATTATCCTTCGTCGAAATCCTTTCGGATTCGTCTATAAGAAATCGGAATCCCGGTCATACGAGCCGGAATTTAAATTATGGTAGTCGGCATCGAAACCACCGGAATCAGAACCACTGCAATCGAAATTATCGAAACCAAAAACATCAAAATCGGCATCGAAACCACTGGGTCCGATTCCTTCGGGACCTTCGGAATCGATTCCATCAATTTCGACTGTTGTAGCGCTCCTTTGGAACGACTCGTTCAGGACGTGCCCAACTCTACTACTAACGAGATTCAAGTATCCTTCTCTATCAATGAGGCGTTTCAAGAAATAAGACGTTCTGTTTTTGATCCCACGTAAATTACACCCAATCTTTGAATCCGACATTAGCTCTTAAACGAAATCTGTTTTAGAGTGGATTGGATTCAAGCGATTGTTTGGAAAATTAGCTCTCTAGGGCTAAATCTAAATGTCGTATCCAAAAGCGGTGCTGATCTTATATCCCAGCAATCTTCTTTGGTTACTTAAGATATCAGACATTTGCTGAAAAGAAAATCAAGTCAAAATTGACAGAAGAAGACCGTCGTTCTCATCCCAATAGCGTTTTTCTGTTAATTTCTAAAATACTTCATGATATATCAATAAGATGCAGTATCTCCCAGTACTTGATAAAATAGTATTGGAAAGTTATCATACGAAACTCGATTGCTAATTATATACTATATTGTATAAGGTTATAATAAAGTACCTATCCATAATTCGAGGGTAATTTTAATAAAAACTTCACGTAAACACAAATCCGATCATTTTTCATTTCAAGATACCTACGAGATTTCAAGCTTTTACAAAAACTGTAGTTTTTTTCAATCGTGACAATTTTTTAAACATTTGCTAAAATTCAGTAGGAACAAAGGTATCATTGTAGGTTCAATTAAAATATAAAAAATACACAAATTGCAATGGCCATCTAGATAATAGGAAGTGGAACTTATTAACGGCTTTTCCTTTATTATTGACGATACATTTTTAACTACTAAATTTTAACTAATTTCAACAAATTCGGCTAAAGAGTTATGTAAACGTACTTTTACGAAAATGAATAACCAAATAAGTTTGACATACCCAAATTGTCATGAAAACAAGGTGCTACCGAGTTTACGTTTCACGAAGTTTAGTTAAGATCCCCCACTCGCCCTCTAAAGTTTACATATTGCTTAAAAAAAAATCGTTATATGACTTCCTGATGTAGAAGTTGTTTTTGTATCATCGATCAATATATAAAAATGGAACTCTCAGTATTTTTCTTGTTCTGATACTCGAACGTCATGAGCTTTCGCTTATTGGTCATACGACTAGTCATACCCAAAGGCTTTTAGTTACTCAAAAGGTTCTGTTTGACAATATCCTTTCTATTGCTATTAGAAATCTGATTACTAAATTTTTTCCTATAACAAAAATCAGTTCATAAACCATTGTGACTGTAATTTGAAGGATATTATCGAAGCAAGGCCACTATATCTATCGACCAAAAACTTGTTCATTTTTATCTATTTGTAGGTAATGTAATAGGTAAATTTTCATCCAGTAGTTATTTATGATATCCCTGAAGCAATACGAGTAGGTCTTTTTCAAAATGTATGTTGTCATTTTTGTACCAAGTATTTGTGACAATCTGTATTTGTATCTCTAAAGTTGCCCTAACGGTTTTTTCGATGTATTTTCAATACCTATATAATACCTATATATTTGTCAATAAAGACTGTTAAATGTGGCTAATTGTTTTAGTCCAGAAATGTATTCCCAAAACTCTAAGACAGACAGTAGAACACTTTCTCATGGGGATACACTACTGCATTTCAGGCAGAGATCTATCTATGCAATGTTACAATGTGAACCTCTTATCCAGACAATGATCTAGGAAATAGGGAAAGAGTAATACAAAAAACACAATTAAAGCAATACGTGCCTATAGGATAACGTTGGGAAACACCTGGTCTCCTTTGTGTGGATACCCGGACATGGATACATAGTAATGTAATGTAATATTATTAGTTGTAAACAGAATTGAGGCTATGATGAAAAATATGATTCAAAATTAATTCTGAAACAGAAAAATATATTCGTCAGTTAAGGGAAATCTTTCAATGGTAGGGTCTAGAGAGAGACTTTTGCAACCAAAACGGCTTTTGGATTAGCTGCAAACTGAGTTGGGAATAACAAACAAAAAAATGAATTAACCCTGTAACACGGAGAATATCTCCGACAGAAAAGATAAGTAATCTTCGACCGCACTACCCGGAAATGTTATTTCGATCTAACTTTAAGTACCGTCTCCACTCATCAAGGTGTCTGGCGTTAAACGTGACGGCAGTTTGCCAAGCACATGGATTTTGGGCACCATAAATTAGAATCATTTCCACTCTTTCGGCTAGTGTGTAAACCATTTTGGAAGTAAAATCTGAATCAATAAATTAATTTTCACTATCCAATATTGTCACAAAGGTAACTGACAGCAAATTAAATATTGGATTTGGCAAACCCTAGCGGGCAACATTTTGAACACTTATTGAAATAAAAAGTTGTATTTTCGTGTGTTTTTATTTCTATCTGAACAAAATAAGATAAATAAAGATTTTTATAATTTTCTCGAAAGCAAATCGACCGGTTTTAAAAAATCAAAAGTCAAAACAAAGCACTTCGAAAGACCTTTCAAACAAGCTATTACTCGATACCCCTTGCCATTTAAAATTTTTAAGGGGATGACCCTGAGGGGCAGAGGGTGAAAGGGGGTGAAGTAGTTTTTGTTTTTGGTTAAGAAGTTGTCCCCCTTGACAAATCTCTTGACGTGTCTCGGCGTTTTTGCTTTTAATTAGTGGTTTTCGATAAATCCGTGTTGGGAAGTTTTCAAATGAACACCCTGCATATGTTTATATTCAATTGTGGACTTGATGTTTTAGTTATATCCAGTACTGTTGAATTTATTACATTAATTTTTATGCCTAGTAAATGGTCAACGGCTATAATCCTATTTATAAAGCGCTGTAATGCTTCTAGACATGGATCCTAAACAGATTCGACATAATTGACATTTCAAAAATGTGTATGCTCGAAATAAAATCATTATTTGGATGTAGAAAATAAACTAACGCATATTTTCAACATGCATCTTAATTCAAGGAATTGGTATATCATATTGGCAACGCGGTGATGAGCTTTGCTGTCCAGACGGTTTCTATCTATTTCTAACATATGTGTCTATACACACTTCTCTCTCGTACACATTGAACTCAAGCTGTCAGATAAATTTGGATCTCAGTGTATATTGAGCAATACTGCAAATAATACACAGCCTTCTCGTACACATCTCTCAATAGGTACTAGCTCTGATCTTGAGTGACCGATCCTTGGCTGCTGCTTCCTGTCTCTAATAAACATTCCAAATAAATTCGTTGTCCTGTTTGTCTAACACCTTTAACTGCACTGATTTCATAAGGGTAGTATGATTCACTCGGTCAAAGGCTTTCTCGTAATCTATGAAGCAGATATAGGCAACCTTTCTCACATCCCCACATCGTTGGAAGAGTATTAATAAATTAGCCAATGCTTCTAGCGTTCTTAGCCCTACGCGAAATCTGAATTGAGTGTCACTTATGCCTGCTTCACATTTGTGATAGGTCCTAGACCATTTTGAGTAGTAGCTTATGACATGACCTTATTATTCATCGCATTTTTTTTGCACTAGATTTTATGGGAAGGGAGATAAAAGTGGAAGAAGGGGAAAATGTTACATTTGTTTATCTCAAATAAAGATGTCTTCACGTTCAATAAAAATAATATATATTTGAACAAATACAAATTTATATTATTAAAATACAGAGGAATAAGACATACTGTAGCTCTATAATTCTATTATATAAATACTAAAGAAAAATTATTTGCATTCACATTATTGTTTGCTTGAAAAACATATATTGTGAGAATAATAATTGCTTACGACTATTAAGTATGCATTTTTTTAAACGGTACGAGTATATCGATATTTATTTCCATATTTGAAGAAAACACCAAACTACAAAAACGGTGGACTCGAGCATTAAGACAACAATGATGCAAAAATTACCCGATTTGGGCAAAATATGCCGCAGACATTTTTGGATATGAATTTGTGATGAACTTTTAGTTGTTGTTGTTGTTTTGAAACTTGTTGCGTTTTATAATTACTTATAATCAGCAGTCTGATAACACTGTTTCCCCATTCCCGTTTTGGCCTCACCTTTTTTTGTAGCCTGAGCAGACCGCGAGTATATTATTTTCATTAACAACATGAGGTATAGCTTAAGGTACATACAACATATAGGATACTGGGTGGTTCTTAAACATTGTTCTGTCTAACATGTACTTCAACTCTTAGTGAGCCTCTGGACCTATGTATATAAAAATAACCGTATTTATTTACCCGCCTATTTACGAAAATAAATAAAGCAAACTAAACAAAATAAATAAACTAGCTTTATAAAATGGAATTTGTTTGTAGTTTTTTAATCCACTATCGTTCTTTTACTGGTACCCATTAAACGTTTGGTATCCGTGATTTCTTTAACGTACACATTCTCCGTTTTGCAGATGCAAAGTATGGGACGCAGCCACCATATTTTTAATTTTTTTTAACTGTGAAGTAGGTACTTTTTTTGAGTATGAATGATAAAACTGAAACTCAAAAATTTCACTTCTAAGTTTCATGGTGCGAAATCAATCATGTTTATGAAGAAAATATCTCCAAAAATAGTGTACGGTTTGGTTATAAAAAATTCTTAATATAAGATAAAGATATGCAGCCGACAATATATCTAGCTAGTATAGCAGCTCGTGCCAACCGCTTGTTTGGTAATAGTGATGTATCATTAACAGTCTTAGTACAAACTGTGCTACAACTAACATGTGGGATTCTATAAAAAATTGCACAGTGGTTATGATTGTTTAAGTATTCGATAAAACGGGACACATATTTACGTTTCACAATACAAATAAATACGGAATCCAAGATCGCATTCGGAAAAATATTTGAAAGCGATTGTCAAAAAATGATCTCAGAAGTACAGATCAAAATGACAATCATAATATACTCTATATTTTATTTGGCGTCCAGGTGGGACACCACTAGTTTTTTCCGCTACTGTACATAAGCGACAAGCGAGCATCAGGATATCCGTTGTTTTGGATGTACCCGACACATGACTCTCACTCATCTCCTCGAAATATCACCCAAAATTTTTGAAAACCACAAAATCAAACATAGCAATGTTCGTACTTTTTAATGAATCCCACTCCAATTTTTCTATTTTCCTAAATCAGTCGCAGCGTTTAGATATTACAATACAATCAACACTAGTAGTAAAAAGAAATTTAGTCACAAGTATTTTTTTAAATGGTTTCGTCGAGATCCAAAGCCTCCTGGAACAGTCACATTTAGATATATATCAAGAGAGATTTTAAATCTTCTGACCCATTTACAGTTTACTGATAAGATTGTTGTCTAAACATAGCTGAAATCTCCTCCAGAGTTTTGTTCTTTGTCTCAGGTACTTTCTTGTAGATGAACAATAAGAAGAGAGCTTGAAGGATGACGAAGATGATGAATACCCAGGGTCCCATAAGTTCCTGCAAACATCAGTGGTTATTGAAACAAAAGAAACTGGTCAATAATCTAAATAGTGTTAGTTATTTGTTCCCTAGAACAGGTCATTCTCACACATTTTGAAGAAGAATCAATCCGCCAGTGTAAAATATTTTGGCTTTGTGATTTAATTTAGCAAATTATTGGACTGTTTTAAAAGTTTATGCTAACAACTATATTTGAATCAAGTATTTTTGAACTTACAGCTAGAGGTAAAAATGCCAATCCGACCAAGAAGTTAGCTGTCCAGTTGATGGAGACAGCTAAAGATGTTGCTATAGGTCTTGCTGACTGGTTGAATAGCTCTGATACCAAGAACCATGGAATTGATCCTGGGCCGGTGGCAAACATGATCACATAGACCAAAACGAAAATAATGCACAATATACTGGCCACTTTGCTTTGTGCCTGAAAAAAAAAAAGAAAATCATAAATCTGAAAACACACACAAAAAACGTGGTCAATTAAACAGTTATTCTGGAAATTTTTCATTAATCGTAATACATTTTTTAATTGTTCCAAGTTACTAAATTATTCGGTTTAATTAAACTGAATTTCCTGGAAGTAGTTTAATTAAAAGTAATAAGCTATTAAACTAATTTGCTTGAACATAGCAAGCTATATACCTGTTTTGTCAATTTGTTCAATAAGTTTAGGTAATTTAGTTCAAGTAGAAAAGGTGCATCTAAATCAATTAAACATGTTGATAAGAACAGTTAAACAGTTTATTTAAATCGCGGACTAGGCAGGGCTCGGCTCTTCATTCTTTAATGATCAGGAGTATGCAACAGACTCAGTGCCAGTCACGCGCTTCGAACTCCTCAGTTTTGACCATAGGACCAAAGCAATCCTATGATTCGTTTCTGAAAAGTAGGCAGAGTTAGTTTGCTGATTTGCAAAATGGTGAATGTGCATATTGTAGTTATGAGACCAAAAACTCGGAGAACCAATATATGTACTAAAAGAAATATTTCGCCAAAACGCCTTGTAAGAAGGTGCTGAGAGGTGTCATGTTGATCGTGAGCATGATTCTTACAAGGTAAGTTTCAAGACAAGTTGATTTTCATATGTTTATGCTGGAATAGATTTAGCACGAGTAGCTCGAGAATTCAGGAAACTCAATAGGTCAGATTGCTTTTCAAGGGCACATAAAAGTCATGACTGTTTCTTTGTCTTTGATTATGACCTATACAAGGTCAAATTATGGTCATGTTGATTTTTAAGGTGGAAGGTAAAAAAAGTACACTACCATCCTTCGATTATTATGAAATGTAGATTAGCGCATCTGCTGTTAGCAATGGCGCAAGAGGCGACTGCCGGTCTAAGGTTAGACGGAGTAGAAGGGATGTACTCACGTTTTTAAAACTAATAGTCAATAAAATACAATACCCTTAAGCTACATTCACATTAGTGCACTTTTTCTTTAACTTCCAGCTTAAAAATCAACATGACCATAATTTGACCTTGTATAGATCATAATCAAAGACAAGCAAACAATCACTTTTCTGTGCCCTTGAAAAGCAATCTGACCTATTGAGTTTCCTGAAAGTGGCATTGTAAGGATCATGCTCACGATTAACATGACACCTCCCAGCGCCCACAGGCATTTTTGCAAATCATGCAAACAATTCGCCTAAACTAATAAAATCATAGGATTGCTTTGTAGACACTTTTGTTCGGGTAGGCAAGATATATATCGTACTGAATTTTTAGACTATCGGCTGATATCCATTTTTCATACGTTTTGTGCTTGGTCCTTTGAGGTACCTCCATGTCATCGGAATTGTTGACTACTTGCATAATTTTTGTATTCATCTCAACGTTACTACAAGACAGACGACCTGAATACAATCGAAAATTCCATTTATAAACAAACAGTTCGATTTACCTAGAGAGTGCGTGGCGCATAAGTTGGACACGAACAGGAGTCGAATCTTTTAATATCTGCAAGCACTAAATAAACCGCTGATACTTACCGCAAACATCATTCCAATGGTTAACAAAGCAGTGTCAACAACCATGCCACCAAATCCAACCAAAAGAAGTGTCTTTCTGCCCGCTTTCTCCACTAAGAAGAGTGAAACGACAGTCATGATGACATTGATGGTGCCCATAGCCAGTGTGGCGTAAGTTGATCCTGCGTTGTCTAAACCTGCCATCATGAAGATTTGACTTGAGAAGAACATTACCTGGAAAGAAGTCATTTTAATCTTTCACATTTTAAAATGTGAAATAAAGATAATAATGGGACCAAAGTCAATGCTCTCAGGCAATCAGCGCCAGACTTCGACATAATGCAAATGAAACAACAAAGGATCGCTGGAATACTAATATTTTCTGCAAGCTCTGTATTCATGATGTGCATCCATTATATCAAAATCACAGTATAGGGCCATCAAAGTCACTATGTCAGACGAGTGGATGTTACGCGCACACAAAGCAGCACAGGTTCTAGCACAGATACCGCCAATAGCTGTTAACGCGCTCGCTTCTGCCAGAAGCAGACACAGTGTTACAGACTTTGGACCGTGTTTTCAACACTGTTAGCCGCATCGACCTGTGCATTGCTCAAGTGCTTGACTAGATTATGTTCTGTATATGGATGACTGTTTTCAGTCCGAACAACTTCAGCAAAAAAGCTACGAGATCCTGCATTTCTATAGTTCGAAAGTTACTGCTTAGATTCTAATACAATTTTAACACAGAGGTAGCTGCTATGACAGAATACCCTAAATGCTTACATCAATGATGGTGCAACAGCAAGTAAAAAGGAAAAAATTAAGAACGTCAAAAAACTTAATATTTTGAATGTTTTTCTATATTCTGATTATTTCGGCCCATAGTAGAAATACTACGGATGCATTATCATTTGTGAGTGGCTAAAACGTCACTGAGACGTACTTGATCAATTTGTCAATCTACCTAATTTGCTATAAAGAGGTATTTATATATGTGGTAATCCGCTGACGAAGATCTGGCTTCGTACTAAAAATTTTACTTTTCGAATGACCCCAAAGAAATTAATCTAAAGGACTTAGGTCCGGAGAGCTCGGCGGCCACTCGATGGGGCATCGTCTGCCGTACCACTGATTCGGGAAATGGGTGGGATGGATCCACATAGTACGGCGGTGCACCATCTAGTAGGAAATGTATGTAATTTTTAATATAATTAACATCATTTTCTATTATTTCGATAATTCGTGGCTCTATCTAATTTGCTAACATGTCCACGTACGTCTCGCCCGTCAAGTTTCCAGGAATAAAGGAAGGTCCTACAATATGATTTCCGAAAATGCCGGGCCACACGTTTATTTTTTCAGAATATTGCGAGTGTTCCTCTCGGCACAAATGTTGATTCGAGTCACTCCAATATCTAAAATTATGTCTATTTACAGAACCATGTAAATAAAACTTACACTCATCCGAGAAACAAATTATTAAATAACAGATTTGCATTGTTGCTTAAACGTTGGGACATTAATTCGCAACTCCAACCTTCTATCAAAATCGTCTTCATTGAGCTAATGGACAAGTTTTATCTTATACGAGTGAAATTTATTGTCTTTAAAACTCTTTGTACTGTTAAGCGTGTAAGTCCTGAAGAAGTAGCCAGTCCACGAGTGCTTTGGTTGTTGTCAAGTGCTTCGGGACCCAAAACTGATATTTCTGCGGCTTCATTTCTAACTGGTCGATTTTCTCGATGGCGATTACGGCAAATATTAGACACAGATCCAGTTTCTTCAAATTTTCTTAACAACTTAGCCACATACAACCGGGCAGTAGCTCTTGCAATGCTCCCATTTTGGTAATACAGTTTTGTAACTTCTACCCGTTCTTGAATTGAATAAGTCATTGTTCAATATTTATCACAACTAGTAACTTAACAATTTGAAATGAAAGAAAGTTTTCTATGACATACAATGACACTGACTGATGCTAAATGTCCTTACTGGTATCCATGGTTATTATTTTTTGCCGTGCATCCATTATTATCAGTATTAAGTTAAGTTGAGCAAATTTTATTATTAACTCAAATAGCTTCACAACGATTGAAGATAGGTATAAACTTTACTATACAAAAGTTACTAAAAACTTCATGGAAAATTTGAAAATTAAAAAAAAATGAGGGTTCACATTTAAAAATCGTAAGTGTATCGAAATATCTTATTTTTGGATCACCCTGTATTGAACGACTATAGATGAAAACACGTCCCTCTAGAAATCAAAATCGACCTTTCTCTCAAAATATACCAGGATACTCACAAATGGACGTGCGACCATTTCGTTGGCCACCCTGTAAATTTGTTTGGTGCCTTTATCGCTCTCCCTCTGTCCTTAAATGGGATGACCTACTTGACTACTTCGCCGTCCAGATCGACTTCCTGAACATCAATCACCCCGCTTCAGAGGTAGTTCTTCTCGGTGATGTCAATGTCCATAATGATCTTTGGTTGGGCTCAAACAAGACCGATGCAGCAGGTCGTGCAGTCGAAGCGTTCGCTCTTACTCAAGGGCTGACCCAGCTGGTGACGAGTCCTACTTTTCCCCCGCGTCTCGTCACACGCCAGTAGCCTGGTGGATCTCTTTCTGACCACGCATCCTGTCCCTTACAGCACTGCTGTCCTGTCCCCCCCTGGGTAACTCAGACCACGGTGTTGTGGAGGTTAGGTTTCGGTCAAAACCCGCTGTTGCAGCACACACTCATACAGGCCGCAAAACTTGGCATTACGGACATGCCGACTGGGAGGGGCTCAGAGACTTCTTCTGCAGCTTTCCTTGGAAAGATATCTGTTTCACTGACGCGGATGCGTCGACTGTCTGTTCTTCGATAACCGAAATTATCCACGTCGGAATGGAGGAATACGTCCCACACACAGTGAAAGTGCCTAGACCAGGGTCTAACGGCTCGTTTAACAAATCGTGTGACGCTGCTCGCCAGCAGAAGATCAAGGCACACAGAACCTTCTTACAGAACCCCACTGTGAAGAACAGACAAGCCGACGTTGAGTTCAGAAACAAATATAAAGAAGCGGTTCGCAATGCCAAAAACCAGCACGATATAAAAGTTAGGCACAGGGTGATGTCGCAGCGCAATGGCAGTCGGTGTTTCTGGACGCTGGCCAAGCAGATTGAAAAGAACTTCTCACAAAGTAGCCTTCCACCACTTCCGTGTCAGGATGGAACTATTGTATTAAACTCAAAGGCCAAGGCGGAAGTGCTAGCCAAGATCTTTGCTGCCAACTCCACCATTGACGTCCCTCCCAATGCCCAAGAGCCATCAATTCAAAGGGTTCCCTACACTATGCGGGATGTAACATTCAGGCATAACACCGTAAGACGAGTGCTCTTGTCGCTCGACATAAACAAAGCTTCTGGTCCGGACTTGATTCCTGTCATTGTACTGAAGAGGTGTGCAGCGGAGCTTGCTCCAGTTCTTTCGCGCCTCTTCCAGATATCTTATGAATCCGGCACTTTCCCAGAAAACATTAAATTTGCTCATGTCCAACCCATCCCAAAAAAGGGATCTAAGACCGACCCTCACAACTACAGGCCTATAGCTCTGCTTTCTGTTTTAATTAAGGTGATGGAGAGGTGCATAAATCGCGAGCTTCTGGACTACCTCGAACGTCACAGCTTGATTAGCGACCGACAGTATAGTTTCCGGCACCAACGATCCACAGGGGACCTCCTAGCTTACGTGACTCAATTGTGGAGTAAACGCATCCAGTCTTATGGTGAGGCTCATGTCGTTGCTCTTGACATCACGAAAGCATTCGATCAGCTGTGCCCCACTGCCCTCTTAAGCAAACTTCCATCCTATGGTCTCCCAGAAAAGCTTTGCAGATGGGTGGCTGACTTTATCTCTGGCCGCAAGATATCCGTCGTAATTGACGGGTTCTCCTCTTCATCCCACAACATCAGCGCGGGTGTTCCCCAGGGATCGGTCTTGGCTCCGACACTGTTTCTCTTACATATCAACGACCTCCTTTCCTGCACGATCAACCGAAGCCACAGCTTCGCTGATGACAGCACTCTACAAGCAGGAATTCAGAGTGACAAGCCGATCTCTGCCGCTGAGTTGGAAAAAAGAAGACTTCTGACAAGAGACCTGGAGGCTATCACTGCTTGGGGATGCAAAAATCTGGTACAGTACAATGCTTCCAAAACACACTACTGTACCTTGACGAACAAAAAGCGTCCCTGCGCTCACCCGGTTCCGATGGATGGCCGAGTTCTGCCAAAGAGCCATTCATTTCGGCTGGTCGGAGTCCAGATCACCGAGGACCTGATCTGGCACGAACACATCTAGTCAATAGCTGCAGTCGCTGGGAAAAAGCTAGGCTATTTGTTTAGGGCTAAGAAGTACTTTTCTCCGCATGACCTTCTCACTCTATACAAGGCCCACATAAGGCCTAGCCTCGAGTATTGCTCACACGTTTGGGGTAGTGCCGCCCCGACTACATTATCCGTGCTCGATGCTGTCCAGAGGAGGGCGGTCCGACTGATCGATGACTCTTCTCTAACAGACAGTCTCGGGACTCTTTCGCACCGGCGGCGGCCTATCGGCGATCTAACTCTTTTCTACCGTTACACCAACGGGCTTTGCTCCTCAGAGCTCTCTTCCATGATGCCGCCGCGCGATGTGCCTACCAGACAGACCCGCCTGACTTTGGCGTCCCATCCTAACCGTGTCGAACTTCGTACATCCAGAACTGGTAGATAAGACCGTTCCTTTGTCCCGAGGGTGGCGAGATTGTGGAACAATCTACAAGAGGAAGCTTTTCGCAGTTCTATTAACCTTAGGCAGTTCAAAAATTATTAACAAAATTTCTTTGGGATCATCATAGCGGCCGCGGTGTTCCGGCATTTAGGCTTCTGCCTGCGCGGCTGCTTCGATATAAAAGAAAAAAAATGTAAAAGAACCTATATATGGAGGAATGAACTAATTTTAAACACGCATTGTTGGTATTAGCTGTGAGAGAAAAGCATTGCTGAATATGCTGCCAATGAAGTATATCTATTAGCTGTGCCCGACGGGTTATTTATATGTTGTCCTTTCCGAAGGCAGGTTATGTTCAAAGTATACATTACCATTTTTTACGTTTTTTTGTATTTTAAAAAACTTTGAGGAGAATTACGGGAAATCACCGCCGCGCCCGCGTAATGTGTAATTATTGTTAGCATGTATATTACTTGTAATTCGACAGTGTACGGAGAATATAATTATTTTGTTATCTCTCTCATTTTTGAAATTCAGCAAATTTGCATTGTAATTTCCAGAATGGACAAGAAAAAGTAGATGCGCAACCAGTTTCTAGCTTTGGAACTCAAATTTATTTGAGACAAGAATCCAATGGAATTATCATCAACACATATTATTAGCACACAAATCCTCGCTATGCACCTATGCATTGCCGTTTCCTTCTAGCTATAGTATACAACTTACAGCTTAGACCTCCAGTAATGCCATCTCTGTAACAGATTCTACATCGCATCAGAGACAAACATTGATAACTGAAGCGTCATGACGTTTAGGCAACACGTACAACTACAAAACGAGTTCACAACGTGTCCATAAGCTAGTGGCTAAATTAACATTTTGTATAATGTAAAAAAAAATCGGCATAATGTCACTTTTCAAGATACGAGTGTAGCTTTTGGTTTACTTATTCTGTGTCAAAATAATACTTACAGCATTAATACCAGACAATTGTTGTGCACACATCACCATCAGTGAAATAATGAGTGGAATCCTAAGCATGCTGTTGGTGATAATCTCCCTCATGGTGACTTTAGGAAGCATCTTGACAGCGTCATACTCTGCCTTCATCAGGTCCATCTCTTCGTGGACGATGTTGGTACCTCGCAGCCAGGATAATGCATTCTGAGCCTCATTCTCATTGTTCTTTGACAACAGGTACTTTGGAGACTCGGGGCAGAATGGAAGGGTCACCAGCTGTAAATTCAAATCGAGGTCAACCAAGACATAAGGTCGAATGAGTTTTTTTCGATCAGAAACAATGGATGTATATGATTTTAATAGATCCTAGGTAGCAGGAACCAATACAGTGGGTGTTTCAAATTCAACTCTCACTGTTGGGATCTCGGAAACGGTGAGCGAAACGAAGTCGGTTAAGTGGGGGCAAAGTTGCGCAATTACGTAATTAAGGAAATGGAACTTACAATGCTTTGCAATTCCGAGTATTTCCGGAGATAGACGAAAGGAGCCGAATTTTTTCAAATCGTCTTTTATTTTTTCCTGACTTCATTTGAGATGGGATTTCAAAATAAATAGTACGCTAACATTGATACGTTTTCTCCTCTGCAAGATGGTGTAATTAGAGTTCCAATATAATATTTTGTAACTTGTGCTAAGTCAACTTTATTTTTCTTCTAAGCGTTATATGAGATTTTGGCACGGGTGAATAGATTTTTTTGTTCCGATTCTAAAAATGTATAATATGCCATATAAAAACAGAATTAAGCAGGCCTAAGTAGGCAAATGTCTTAACTCATCGAATAAAGAACAACCTAATACTAAAACTTTATTAAAGGGCCGTATTGAAAACATTGAAAACAGTATTATTTTATGTAACATATGAAACATCTTGGAGTAAATAAAAGCCTCCACGAAGTAGCAGCTCCAAAAACACATTTTATATCTGCCATATTTAGCTGATGCACATATCTTGCATTCAAATACTTATTAGTCTATAGCTGAGGTGTTATGTAGACAGCACCCACCGTGCTGAAATAACGCTTGCTATAGTCAGTAATTATAATATAGTGAATTTTCCGATTAGATCCACTTTTCAAACACTGAAGCATTGGTGATTCAATCGGATGAACATGTAATATGCTGTTATCTTCAAAGCCAACTACGAGAACATTTGCTTTTTTAAAATAATCTAGGTTTCATGAATCCATATGTTTCATACTTTTTTCAAATCAGCATCAAAAACCCTATTCACCTTAAATCAAATATGATGCGTATAAGAACAGCCATTAGCTGTAGCTGCTGGGAAAAAGCTAGGCTAATATTTAGGGATAAAAAGTAGTATTCTCTGCATGACCTTCTCATTCTACAATAGGCTCAGATAAAATCTAGCCTCGAGTATTGCTCACACATTTCGAGTCTGCTGCCCCGACTACATTATTTATGCTCGATGCTGTCCAGAAGAGGGCTGTCCGACTGATTGATGATTCTTCTCTAATAGACAGTCTCTGGACCCTTTCGCACCGGCGGACCGTCGGCGATCTAGAGGTTTCTAGAGAGACCCGCCTGACATCGGCCTCCCAACCTAACCGTACATCCAGAACTGGCCGATACGACCGCTCCTGTGTCAGAGGATGTTGAGAATGTGGAACGATATACAAGAGGAAGCTTTTCTCAGTTCTACTAACCTTAGGCAGTACAAAAATCGTATTAACAAAATTTCTTTGGGATCCTCATAGCAACCGCGGTATCCTGGCATTTAGGCTTCTGCCTGCGCGGCTGATTCGGTATATATGTATAAGACGAAACGTCATATTAGAATTCTAATTACGTCAGCTTGTAGAGCAGAACATGTACCTTTCAATGTACCTTTTATTTTGAAATCCAATCTCGAATAGGTCAGGAAAAAATAAAAACGATTTTGAAAAAACTCGGTTTCTTTCGTCTATCTTCTGGAAATGATGATAATTGCAAAACTTTCCAAGTTCCAGTTTCTTAGTTACCTGAATACGCAATATGGCCCATTTTAACCGACTTCGTATCCGAGATCCCAATGGTGAGAGTCGGATTTGAAAGGCCGTCATCAAAGACATTGGTTTATCTTTTAGTACATATCAATTTCGCCTTTCAACTCACCTGGAATATGGATGGAACAATGGTGATAGCCAGCAAAGTAGGCCACAATTCCGCAGTACCCAGTATAGACCCCAACCCCAGGATCTGAGCAACCAGGATTGAAACGGTAATCACCAGTTGGTATACAGTACCGACGGCTCCTCTCAGATTGATCGGCGATATCTCAGCTAAGTACATGGGCGCTAAGCCTGCATTCATGCCTGAGTTCACACCAATAAGGAAACGGCCAAGGATGATGAGTTCGTAAGATCCAACAGTTTTGGAGACTGCTTCGCATATGACGGCCAAGATGACGAAGATGTTATTCAGCAGGAGGCCGCCTTTACGTCCAAAACGGTCTGCGACGACACCTGCAATAAAAGGAAATTAGTCAGAAGCGCAAGTGTTTTATCATCTAAAACTTTAAGCCCTTCTTGCCGTCCCTGCGTCGAATAACACTGATTCCTATATGGTATCTTCCTCTAAAAACTTTCGATCCAACCCACCTGACCTCCTTATTAAGGCCAAAATGTTCGACCCTTCCACTGGATATACCTCCTCAACATCAAGCTCAGCCTTAGCAATATTACAGAAATATATCTACGTTATATTTATGATCCGGAGACAAAAAAATGGCGTTACGTAGATTGACTCTATACTTCCTACGCCTTTGTTGGAGGTTTCAAAGAAAAGGGATGAGTCAAATCGAATAGTGATTAGGTAGATTCACTTAGGTACGATAAATCTCCTACCTTTGCATATCAAACTAACATAAATAAACAAATCTATCATATTTCTGTTTCCATGGCAGATGTATGGATAATATGTGTGACTTATTACGTCTAACAGGTGCCTAGTATCACTGAGATCAGATGCTTCTTAGTAATAGAAGGTATTCCAATGGCACCAAATATGCAACAATCTGCAATTTACAACCATCTACCGGATATAGCTTTCAGCCTACAATTTTCTCCGAAACGTTGTAATAATGTTTCAGCGATTTTATTTCCGTCACCTATAAATCAATTTTCAAAATCTACGTCAACCTAAACGATGGAAGTATTAAACTCGCGAAAATATTCAAACTTCTGTTCACATTTTGTCTGTTGCTTAAATATATCTGTATCACGCAAGTCAGTGTTTCTCATTTCTGTCGGTTTGTCGGTCCGTGTATGTAGTATATCAATGCTCATAAGCACTGAGCCAATCTACTTGACGAATTATCAGAGAACCATCACAGTCGGAGTAACACAAATTAAGGTTAGGCGAAATGGGTGGTACATTTAAGGATTACAAAATTCAGAAAAATATATGTGGCAGTGGCCTCCACGACGATGCAGCATCGCGCCGCGACTACAAAGCTTTTCCATCCTTGACATAGTAGTAATTTTGTATGAAAATTTCATTAAAATCCGAGCGGTTATAAAATTAACGGTCCGACCGACAGACAGACCGTTATACAGGGTGGTCCATAAGTCCTTTGAAATTCCAAATTTGAATAAAATTTTACGGGTGAGCGTGAGCGGCGCGGGCGAGGTGGGGGCAGTATCTTCAGTGTCTGGGAATTCAGTCGCCATGGAGTGTTTCACTGGAGCTGATCGTGCTTTTTGTGTGCGCGCGTTTTATCAAAATAATGATTCGGCAACCATTGCGCGGCGTAAATATCGAGAATACCACAATTTACACAATTTTACACAGTGTCCAACAGCTCAAACGATTAAGAACTGGGTTGCTAAGTTCGAAGAGACTGGTTCGACGTTAGATAAACAGCGGTGGGGTCGACCAAGGACAACTCGTATTGAAGAAAACATCAACATTGTGGCACAGTCTGTTCGTCAAAATCCTACCCGGTCTACTCGTAAGCGTTCCAGTGCACTAAACGTACCCAGAACATCTTTACAGCGGATTTTAAGGAAAGATTTACGTCTGCACGCTTACAAAATTCAGTTAGTGCAGGAATTAAAAGATAATGACGCTATTCAGAGACTAAACTTTGCGAATCAAATGTTGAATCGATTTTCTTCGCTCAATAATGTGTTGTTCTCGGACGAGGCTCACTTCCATTTAAACGGGCATGTAAATAAACAAAATTGCCATTATTGGAGCCCCGAAAATCCAAGGCGTAAGCATCAGAAGCCCTTACACAGCCCTAAAGTTACAGTTTGGGCTGCTATGTCAGCGCATGGCATCGTAGGTCCTTATTTTTTTGAGGACGACAGAGGTCGCGCATTAACTGTTACTTCGGAGCGGTATGTAGCAATGATAGAAGAGTTTTTGACACCAGCGTTGCAGAATTTTCCAGGCTATAATACGCAGACCTGGTTTCAACAGGACGGAGCAACTGCCCACACCTCCAACACTTCTATGCCCGTCGTCTGTCAACTTTTTCCTAGCAAAGTAATTTCTCGAAGAGGAGACATTTCCTGGCCACCACGTAGTCCAGATTTGACCCCAATGGACTTCTTTTTATGGGGCTACCTCAAGAGTAAAGTGTACGACACCACTCCGCGATCAGTTGATGTCCTGAAAGAAAATATCCGAAGAGAAATGGCAAGCATTACAGTGTTGACTTGCCGCGCAGTCATCGACAATTTTAGACGTCGTTTATATGAGTGCCGTGATCGTAATGGATTGCATTTAGACGATGTGATTTTTAAAACATAATTCCCATTCAATAAAGATGATAACAAAATATAATAATTCTTCATAATGTAACTAGTTTGGTTTTATTCCTTTTTTTCCAGCTCAAAGGACTTATGGGCCACCCTGTATAATATCCAAAAAACTTAATATCTCGATCACGAGTTTTTTCACGAAAACAATAGATCTCTGCCAGTATTGGTATAGGAAATAAAAATATCTCTTTTAAACTAACGTCGGGACCGATACAAGTGCCTATAACTTGCAACTTCGCCAAATAATGGAATTTCCCATCTTTACATTCCACTGTAAATAAGAGGCGTCAGACTTCTCTGGAATAGACTAAACCAATTTAAACTCTATTGAAGGTAGATAACCCATTTAAAATCTGTTAAAGGCATCCAGTAAAGATTGCCTAAAAATAGTACCCGCATCTCATGGAAAAGGTTTCTGACCGCATACCCTCCTAAGCCCCAAATGATGATTAGTTGATTTAATGTTGCGTGATGTAACATTCTCTCATTCATTCATCTCATTTAATAATGAATAATCTGTATAATTTAACTTCTTTTTACGTCTTACTTTTTGACTCAAGCAATTATGTACTGTTTCCAGTAGAATCAAAAGATAGGTACTGTCTGAATAATTTGGTGAAATAAAATAGTTATTTAATAAGTATGTGTATTTATGGTAATAAATAAAAGTAGCAGGTATCCATAATTTAGTGCAGTACAATGGAAGGCGTTCATCGGGGAATACTAATTTCCATAAGAAGCACTGATATGGTTTTGATTCAATGGCAAATATGTCGAATAAAGATAACAGCAAAATGTAAATTACCTTCAAAATATAAGTAAAAGTTGTTTTAATGTTTTTTATCTCCTTTAGATTTAGATCCATTTTTAGTTTTTCTGGTATGTTTTGATCAGTTACAATAGTATTATGCGTAAAGTGTCTAGAATCTACTGGATTTTCAGAAAGCTTTTTTCGATTCAATATTCATTCATCTACATGTAATAACATTCACACATTTCATTCATCCAGAGGCCCCAAAGCTCTAAGGATAGCTCTAAGCACTTGTGAACTAAGCTTTTTGATGCTATTTTTGAAATTACTAACGAAAACTTATATGCGGTTTAAAACACATCGAACGCATGTTCCACCTGGCGGCGAAAATTTTTATAGATCTAACTCACCGGTTATGGCTCCACCGATCATACCACCGATACAAAATATCGACGTCATCACAGAAAATACAAACGTAACAGTTTGCTGGTCTGGATACTCCCTTGTCCTGTTCGCCATCGTGTGTGAGATCCATGTCTCGATGATCTGAAACAAGAGTACATATCACCTTACAATTTCTTGTTATTAATAATTGGTCAATCATCAGTCAGCTCAAACCTTTTTTATACCGAAGTAGCTGCGCAGGCAGAAGCCTGAATACCAGGGCACCGCGGCTCCTATCAGGCCCTTCATCCGGTTTTTGAATTGTCCAAGGTTAGTAGAACTGAGAAAATCCTCCAAAGGTAGATTGTTCCACAATCTCGACAAAGGAGCGGTCGTATCAGGTCGCCGACGGTCCGTCAGTGCGAACATGTGCCGAGACTGTCAGATAGAGAAGAGTCATCGGTCAGTCGGACAGCCCTCCTCCGAACAGCATTGAGCATGTATAATGTAGTCGGTGCGGCATCACCCCAAACATGTGAGCTGTACTCAAGGCAATGTCTTATCTGGGCCTTGTACAGAGTGAGGGGGTTATGTGTAGAAAATTACCTCTTAGCCATAAATACATAGCCTAGCTTTTTCCCAGCAGCTCCCGCTGATGACGAGATGTGTCCGTTCCCGATCATGTCCTCGGTGATCCTGACTCCGACAAGCCGAAATGAACGACTCTTTGGCAGAACTCGGTCAGCCAGCGAAATCGGATCAGCGCTAGGACGCTTGTTGTTCGTCAAAGAAGAAAAAAGTACAGGTCGTCAAGTGGAGGAAGAGATATGGGATTGCGCACACGAGAGAGGGAGAACGTATTCGGAGCAAAAGACATGGCACGTACGTATGTGAAGCCTGCTTTTTTCAATCGAAATTGTTGGCATGTGTCAAAAGGAAACCAAAACAATTTATTCCATAAAATAAGTATTGCACGCTATGTAGCTATAAGACTGAAATTGATTGGTTCTCATTCTATTTTTAATTGTTAATTATTTCAATTAATAAACAGTCAAATCAAAAGTAAGGTCAGAAAACTAACATCGTAGTAGATATTTTAAAGATTTATGAAGTTTCACAGAGGTTCAAATCCTGAAAGTTCGGAAACGGAATCTGAGCTACTACTTAATCTTAAATCTTCGGTTTCGCTATCGCTATCTTCGTCTAGGTTTATTATTATTTGATCCACAACTAAGTGGAGTGCTGGTTCCATTTCCATATACGGCTTCTCAAAACGTTTGGCATGCTCACATCGCTTGTTCCATTCTTCTATGGGATCAGACGAGAAAAAGTCGTCCAAGGTTTATCGACAGTCTTGAGATTAAAATCTACATTTCTCTCAGTCACATATTGTTTGAAAGATCCCATACCAACTCAATTGGGTTCAAGTTGGGGTGATATGGTGGCAATCTCAAAACAAAATGTCATTTTTCAGCCGTCATTCTGTCTATTTCATAAGTTAGGTATGCCGGCTTATGCATTTTGATAAGGCTATACAAATAAATTTTAGGACAGTAGGATAGTAGGACATTTGTCTATCTGAACATTGTGATACGGAGCATTGTCTATAACCAAAACACTATTTGGTGGTAGGTTGGGAATCAGTTTATCCTGAAGCCATTTTTTATAGTTACTATAGTTCATCTCACTATGATAATAACCCGACTTACTATTGGATTCAGTTATGCATTTGAAACCATTTTCACTACCAGCATGCAGAATAATAAATCTTTGACCTTTTGACACTGGCCTGTGAAGGCCCTCATTGGTATTATCGCTCCAACTCTTTTCATGCGTATGTGATGTATGGATGAATGTTTCGTCCATATGAATTATAGAACGGTTTTTTTCTCTATATTCTTTCATCCTTCTCAGAAAATTTCTTCTGAGATGCTGAATCTCTGGTTTCTGCATAAGAAGTCTTCTATTAGTTCTTGCCTTCCTCCAACGAAATCCCATTGTCCTCATTACTTTCCTTAAAGTGTCATGTGATCCAGTGTAATTGTGTTCTGGAACAAATTTCCTGTATATGCGCCGCAAAGTTGGAACCTTCTTTTCAGTTATGTAAAAATATATTATAGATCGACGAAGCAATATCAAATCAAAGTCGTCGAAGCACCTTCTTCAACAGATTTCATTTCGCGAGAAATCCTCCTAATAGTCGATAGATAGCCGTGGTCATGGCTGCACGCTCCTGAACTTTCTTCAAATCTTTAAGAGGTTTATTTCCTTCTGCTTCTCGTTGCATAAAGAATATAACATTTGCTACAACCTCTCTAGTTCATCCTGATAAAATTTTACGTTGTAGTTTCGATTTAAATTCCATTATAAACGAGTAGTAGCACACCAAGGAATAAATGGCGACAATCAATAGCGTAAAATTGCATGAATTCAACTCACGAATTCGCAACACTACATACAATTTCACTGCCTGGCAATTTTTCTCCTGACTGTACGCTAATTAGTCTAGACATGACAAGAGACTACTGCGCACCGAAAAGGCGTGACATCATTCAAAAATTCGCATCCCGGTTTCTCACCAGAGAGGAAATCGCTGCTAGTCTTCTTTTCTTCAGCTCACAGGCAGAGATCGGATTGTTGCTTTGAATTCCTGCATTGTAGAGTACTGTCATCAACAAATATGTGGATCGGATTGCTCGTACAGGAAAGAAAAGGAACAATGTCGGAGCCAAGACGATCCCTGGGGAACACTCGTGTTGACATTATGGGATGAAGAGGAGAACCCGTCAGTTAAGATGAATATCTTGCGACCAGAGAGGAAGTCAGCCACCTATCTGCAAAACTTCCCTGAGAGGCCATAGGATGAAAGTTTGCAGCATACCACAGCTGTTCGAACGGTTTCGTGATATCGGGAGCAACGATATGAGCATGAATGACTTTAATCCACAGTTGTATGACGTAAGCTATGAGGTCTCCTGTAGATCATTGGTATCCGAAACCATAGTGCCTGTCCAGCACCTTACTAATAGCAGAAAGTTTAGCTGCAGTTGTACGGTTCAGTCTCAGATCCATTTTTCCAGACATTTTTGGTTCACCTATTTCGGTGACTGTGAGCAGCGTCCATTAGAGGATCCCACACACTTATTTTTTGAATGCGTCAAATTAGAAAGCTGAAATTCGGGTTGATGGAATTGATTCGCGAATACCATATTTTAGCGTCGCATATGACGGCTGCAATTGTTTTAGAGCCGTTTTACACACAAGAGAATTACTCCGAAAATTATGGTCATAAGTATGCCGAAAATTTGCATGGAAAAAATATTGAAGATTTTCTCTACAACCTGTATGACACAAGCAAACAAAATTTCGGAGTAATTCATATGATACGCCTGCGCATTAGAGTAATATTTTCGAATGGACATAACCTTAACGGGTATGACGTCCGTTGATTTAAATTTATTTTTGAAATCGAGATCTTGGATAATATTATAAAACTTCTCAACGCATGGGCTATCACATCCAGCGCCTGACGCCGCAAATTTCTGTTTTTGTAATTGTACAAGGTTTGGACATTTTTGGTACTCCTCCAACAACAGTGTAACTTCTTCCCGATTCCACGACATTATGAATAAACATATAAACAATAAACGCTTCTTCGTTCGACTCGAACAAGACCACACCCACAAATGTTAAGTGAGGTTATGTTGTTGACGTTGACATTTCATATTGACATGCACGGAAATAACCCTCTGCGCCGATTCTCGCGCATATTCTATAGAACGGGTTTTATATTTTTACCATGAAAATTTTCACAAGAATTCTTCTACGTGTAATACGACAGCAAAAATTTTCGGCATAATTATGACCATAATTTTCGGAGTAATTCTCTTGTGTGTAAAACGGCTCTTAATAGATTGGGGGTCACGCGATATCTCAGTTTGGAGCTTCTGACGAGTATTTTATAATCATAAAATATAGTCCTTATATTTTTAAATGGCGAACTGGCATGCTGTCAAATTTGAGAATTTTTTTAGATTACTTGTAACTCACCAATCATGAAAATGGTATAGCACGTTTCATAAATCTTTTTACTTTATTTATCTACCGGAATATCTGATAAAATATGGAATATGGAAGCGATTCTACTTTGAACACCATTAACGAATATAGTAAATAAATAATCTAGTATTATGATATTGACAAACGTCTTCAAAAGGTGGTACCACATGACTACCCACTCTGTTTTGAAAAAAATCTGAAGACGGCGTTGCATGGGAAGTGCAGAGTCAACTTACTTGAAGCCCATTTTGATTTCCATTTCCGCATGTGTACATCGGAAACAGCCACAAGTTAATATACCAGCTATGTGTATGTTCTAAAGTCAACAAGAATTCTAAAATTAAGCCGTGAAAAGACTGTCGCCTTCGACCAAAAATAGATTTGCTCCAATCTGTGTGCAAGCTCACGTAGAACGTGATAAATGTGTTTATATGCAAAGAATGTTAAGCTTCACGATGTTTAGTCTTATAAAGCTGAGAACGAATTGAACAATAATAGTTACGTTTTAAACTGCTTTCTTCACGATGGATCGTGCGCAAGAAGAATGAATTCTAATCATTTTGTTCAAATCGCTGTAAAATATAAAATCTACATCTACCAATTTAGAACGAGAAAAGTGCCTATTCAAAATTAAGTTTAAATGCACATATTAAAAGAAAGGCGTCCCAAGCTTAAAGTTCATCAGTAGGTTTCGCTTTAAGTACCACTACTGTTTAAAACTTTCTATTCGTTTGTGTAGGAATTAATGAAATTTGATATTGTAGGAGAACTGAAAAAGTATATAATTTTATAGACATTACCGAACCGTAATCATAAAATGAAAATTTCAAAGAAATATGTTATTATAACTATAACGATTTTCAAATTGTACAGTAGATTTTATGGCACTCTCACCAATAAATTGTTTTTACCATTTTCTTTTATTTTACTGTTAAAAGCGACAATTATGTAGACATTCTCACTTCACAACATCATCGTTTCAATACATGAATTCAGAGATGTAATATTTTTCAAGAGACCAGTTGAAACTCCTGGAGTCATTTTGAAGTATGTAAGTAATTAAGCACAAGTGCTTATTGCTTATCAACGTCAGCGAACATCAG